TCTCCAAGCTATATTTATAGCCTTATTGTGCTACAAACTAGGAATTAAGATAGGAACTACCGCCCCATGATCTTAGGAGCTTATCAACAAAAAAACAGAAATGACTTATCTACTAAAACAGAAATGAAACAGAAATGGCTAAGGCTTATCCAAAATACTTCAACTAAGAAACTATTGTGGTCGAGTCTCCTGCTGTTGTTGATTTTGACTGAGTCTCTTGCTGCTGTTGCGGCCTAGTGCATGCATGCACGTATAACTTTCAAAGCGGAACAGATCCCTACATCACAGACTGAGGATTCCAAAAGCATTTTGCGAGACCCACGGCAGCCCAGCTATATAAGGGCATCAACCCACAAGACTCAAGTACATGCGATTACTTGCTCACTAGCTTACTTTTATTCAAACTTTCAGCTCGCAACCAGAGTACAATACTAACTTAAGCATCGGAGTGACCTCACTAGGTTAGCCACCCCGGGTTCTCTAATCCTTTGTCTTGCAGCTTGGTCCAGCTCGCTATGCGACCAGTGTCCAGGTAGTCTTCCAGCTAGGAGCTTCCAGATCGTGCACCATCAGATTGGATTGGACCTGGTCCATCCATAATGAATTTATATTAGATTGGGTAGGTCAAGCCAATATCTGGTCCATTGATAGAAGATAAGAATATAAGTGTCAATGGACCCGGTTTGGAAAGGAACCAATCTAAATTAAAACAAACTTGAACAGATTGGACGTTTCAGACACTGAATTGAACTAGTCCAAAATATTAATTGGATTGGATTGGACCTGATCAATTTGTAATGGATTCACATTGGACTGGATCAGTTCAATTCACACCTCTATGTACGACAACATAGTTGGTTTTATTTTTGAAAGAAAAAACTGCCATGTCATAAAAAACAAATAGATTTTTTTGACATGGAAGTTTTTTGTTTTCAAAAACAAAACTAACCATGTTGTCAAACACCTTACTTTATTGATTCAAAAAATATGTATTATTTTTTTAAACAAAACAACTTATTTTTTATTTTTTATTTTTTTTGTTGATATGGCAATTTCAAAAATAAATGAAAGCAAAAACATTCGTGTTGTAGATCATCATTCGTCAACTTGACCTGTTCTTACTTCCTCAATTCACACAAATATGACCAATGAGGCTTCCATGGATCTATTCTCTTTTTAAGGTCTGAGGAGTTCATTATTCTAATGGTCGAAATAAGTTGTCTTTGTGCCGCCAACACCTTCCTCCTACTGCTCTCCCCACATATGTGCATGCTATACTGTCGGACAATCTTGATGTATAGAGTCTAGATCTACTCCACACAGAGCGCATCTCACACCAATCTCACAATACATCTTAGCCGCATATTGTGAACATCTCCCAAATTTGTGTGTTATTATTCATGAAGAGATGTTTTTAATACACAACAGAATGTGCTGTAAGATCAGTCTAATACTCTGTGAGGAGCAAATCCTGATTCTGATGTATACAATTCCTACTGCTGCAGATTAATTCCATGAAACTCATTAAGACTGCATTTGATATTCCTCATTGTAAGGACTTTTTTCAGTTTTTCAGTTAAAAACTGCAGCGTGAATCATTTTAACTGCAAAAAAGAGATAAGTGGAATGCCGAATGCAGCCTAAATCATTCAAATTAAGCTCACATTAGCTGGATGGTCATACATTGGTTCTACTCCACAAATTCTAAACCCTAAAGGGCCTTATCCAAGACCTTTCTTTATTTATGATGGGTTTGGGATGGGTGGGGCCGACATTGAGCATTGGTTTAACACGTGGGATGGGACCCACAGCGGAATCTTATTCGCCTCAGATGATGACCTATGAGGACACTTGTCACACCCTAAACCCAATAAGCCATAGGGGGTCTCCTCATAGTGTCTCCTAAAGAGGTCAAGTAGAGACCACGTGAAGTTGTTGCAAGGTGTTCAGGGTCCCCCCACCCCCACCCCTTTCTGTCCTCATAAACGATGAGAAATTTAGGGATTGGCCTCCAGAGAAGATAAGAAGCACGTCAATGACTTCAAATAGGTTTCTCACGAGGGCAATGATCAGTGGTCGGCACTCTTAAAGGAAAGAAGTTTGAATTGTTTTACAAAAATAAAATAAAAAGTTTGAATTGAATCTAGAGGACAGGGTGCCCGTGACAAAGGTTTAAAGAGAATTGTGGGGCCTTTGATTGAGATCACTATGTAGTATCTTTGGGCATTATTATGACTAGGCAAATGACAAACCTGGCCTTGTTCATTGAAGCTTTGAAGTCCTAAAGACAATCAAATGTGATTATGTGAAGCATGAATAGGACATATCTACCAAGTGGAAGAGGATGGGGAGACAACAAATTAAGAGGAAAGCTTTATACAATGAGGATTTGTATCTCTCTACTCCTATATTGGTACAAGTAGTCTTAGAAGCTGAAAATGCCCTGTTTCCTTTAAGGGTTAGAACCCTTACATTCTTCCAGCTGCTTCCACTACTGTCTCTAATGTCTTTTGTTCCTCCATGTGTGTATATTTTGTATTGTTGGAGTCCAAAATGACCAAGCAGTGTGTGTGTAATGATGTTTAATCCATGGTTGATGAGAAACAAAATGGATAAATATATTGTCCAAGAAGGGAATAAAAAGAGGAATGTGGTATGGGATTTTTCTTAATGTTTATCAAATGAATTGAGTGATTATGTCCTTATCAAATTGCAATACATGGGTAAACGGTAAATGTAATATTGTTTAATTAACATGAAACCCAGTCAACAGTCAACCATACATCATCATCATCATCTAAGCTTTGTCTTAATTATATGGGGTCAGCTACATTAATTCTATTCTCCCTCTTGTCCTGTTCAACATCATATCCATTGTTAAATTGTGGGTCCTTAAATCATTTTTTTCTGACTTGCCCCTAGTCTTATTGGCATTGTAGATGGTCTACTTTGCACATGCCTAAACAATCTTGATTTACTTTCCCTCATTTTATCATGCATATATTGTATCCATTCCTACGTTCTTTTGAATAAGTTCATTTCTAGTCTTATCCTTTCTAGTTTTTCCATTCATTCATCTTGACATTCACATTTCTACTACACTTGTTTTTGTACTTTGACTGCCCAATAAACCGATCCATGTAACATTGTTGGCTCTATAACCATTCTTTAAAATTTTCCGATCCATGTAACATTATTGGCTCTATAACCATTCTTTAAAATTTTCTTTTATGCTCCGTTCATTTTTCGGTAAGTCACTTACCCGGGTAAATGCTCTTACCTGGGTAAGTGTTTCCTAGGAAAGATTTACCCGGATAAATGCATTTAATTATGCTCTTTTATTTCCCATGTAAATAAGGTAATGATAATCTTAGACATAAAAATTCCATTATTAAAATGGACATTTTTGTCCTATCCAAGTATTGCCAAATTTCCCTTAGATGGGAAAGTTAATTTATCCACCTAGGAGATGGGTAAGTGATACCCAGGAAAATAAACTTTTACCGGTCTACACATAAATCTGAAAAATGAACACGGGTTTCTTGGTCAATAGGAACCAAAATCCCATTGACCAACTTTTTCCCCTCTCAAAATCCAAAAAAAAAACGCCCCTTAATGTAACCGATATTTTTCTATCACCTAAATCTCTAGATGTACCCCCTCCATTTTGCCCATCCAACTCTAATTCCATGGGCTACATCCTCCCTAATTTCTCTCTTGGTCAGCTATAAATGCTTCCATGAAATCTGCTACAGAAATACCAATCTAACATGTAATTTGAACTCTCAAGGCGCCCCTCGAGTGTTTTTAGTGTGAATGCTGGAATTCAAGTTTAAGACCTCTAAACCAATTTTACTAGTCTCATAGTTTGGTTACATGACAAATTCCTCATTGTACAAGTTCTAACCAATCAAATGAGTGTATTGGTTAAATTGAAGCTTAGCTTCCACAACAAATTCTATTAATCCGACCTCAAGATCTCCATAGAAAATATCCATTTCCACAAACAGTTTCTCCTATGGCCGGACCCTCTAATACAGTTTGGTTTAGGGCAAGGCCTTTAAGTGAGAAAAGAGAGTGAGCACTCTAAGATGTACATACAACCATGGTTCAAAGTATTGATACATCTTTGTGTATCGGCAGAGGTGTATTGGTACCATGGTTTTTGAACCGCCATTGACTTAGATGGTCGGACCATTCGGCATAAGAACCATCCAAGCAGTCGGTTCCGTTTTACCCCAAATCCAATCCCTGGCAAAAAACTGTTGAATTGATTGCAGTCAAGCCATCAACCCGTTCAATGATTTTGATCATTTTTTATTTTTGTTATCAAAATGGGTCATCCATTCGAATTAGACTATTGAACCATCGAGCAGGAAACCAGTGGACAAAATAGTTCCATTTTCAGGTTTTTTAAAACCACGACATATGTAAGTCTTAATTGATAAATTTATTTATATATTTTATATTAATAATTAATCTCAAAAGAATATATATAAGAAATGATTTATTACAAGTTGGAAGGACTAAAAGACTCCAAACAAATAAAAATTATATAGATTGAGACAATTAAAAATGATTTAAACAATGAATATGGGTAGTAGCTAGGAATCATATAGCCGACCCCATTTAGGTGGGATAAGGCTCGTATGATGACGATGATGATGATGATACTTAAAAAAGTGAAAATTAGCCTATAACAATGTATATATTACATTTAATAATTAATGGATTTCAATGACCACCAAAAAGTTTTTAGAAAGGGTTGAGACAATGATGGCCCACAAAATGGAAAGCACGGTAGCAGGTCATTATCCATGCATTGGCGAGAAGACAAGCTAGTAGACCGACCTTGTCATCTTACTATCACATTGCCAAACGCGCTCCAGCCCTACCAGCCAGAAGCTAACAATTGTTACCCATCACATATTGCCTCTCGGCATCTCAACTTTATATCCCTATAAATGCCCCATTCCCAGCAGTCCCTTGACTCACCCAAAAATCTGACAACCCAAGAATTCCTGTACCTGTGTTTCCTCCCCAAATCCTCACTTTCTCTGCATGAATATGGCTGTACATTCACTGTCTCTCAGGAACCCAAAAGTCCGTTCATGGCAACGGTGGTCGAGGCATATCCGGGAGCAGCGAGCACGCCTCTATATCATATGGAGGTGCACTGTGATGCTAATTTGCTGGAATGACTGACTGAGCAGCCATGGAGGACCATGGTGCTTGTGGGCTTGGTGGGGTGGAGTATTAACCTGTGAACTCAGTCTCTGCAACGCTAGAGGTACGTAACACACTGACATGGAAGCTGCTGATGCTAATTTGCTTGAATGATTGAGCAACCATGGTGGAATGACCGAGCAGCCATGATGCTTCATGCTTGTGGGTGGAGGATTAACCTGTGAAGTCGGTCTCTGCAAACACTGACATGGCAGCTGGTGATGATAATTTTCTGGAATGACTGAGCAGCCGTGGTGCTTGTGGGATTGTAGCACACTGGGATTGTAGCACACAGAGTGGCGCATGGTGGGGTGGAGGATTAACCTTTGAAGTCAGTCTTTAGTCTCTGCAACGCTAGAGGTAACACACTGACATGGCAGCTGAGCCTAGATCATTTGTCTTGAAGCTGATTACTGCATTGAACTGCATCAATTAATTACTCTGGCCAAAGGAGGAGGCAGCTGAAGCCAAGGATTTCTGGCAGCTTGTGATGACTTGCATGTTTATAGAAGACTGAGCTTATGATCTGAGTGCGTGTGACTGAATTATAACATAAATGCCGAGGTTCAATTGGTGTTTTGTTGTGCAAGAAGTTTTAGAATCTCTTCATTGAACCAAGTGTTTCAGGAAATTCAGATGAAGGTTGAATTGGAGAGTGTTGTACAGCATAGCTTACTTTAGTTAGCATTTTTGTGCAAGTGAAGACATTCTCTATTTTCTTGATTTCAAATTGGCCTTGAAAATTTTGAATAAAAAAGTGGAACATAACTCTCATTCTCTTAAAAATTTTATGGCCATAACTAAGTAAGCTATCAAATATTTGTTTGAGGTTATTATGGCAAGAGTATGATATAGGAGTTCAACATAACTCAAGAGACACAGAAGAACAGATTGGGGTAAAAAAGCATGAAACAGAGAGGATCAGATTGGAGTATATCCAAGTTATATTTGATTATAAACAGAGCCACATTTAAGAAATAGGTCTAATCCCATGAATCTGTAATAGGGTTCATATCCAGCTATCTTGAATTGGAATTTGGATTTCCTCCTCACAGAATGGTCTTTGGTCCTCACAGCACTTACAGCCATGCATTGAAAATATTCTCTATAAATGAAAGCATACAAGTAGGCGAGATGTTCTGATGTATGGCTGCAACTTGCTGTAAGGTGGGTGTGAGGAGAAAATCAGAATTCTTTGATTAAATCCGGTATTTGACCCATTGAGGGAAAAATATCTACTAACAGCATAGCCTTGGGCTAAAGCTGTGAACCACAGCCGTACATGCATTGATGTGGCCCCACCTTGAATTGGATGAAGTGACGTGAAGGTGGGCCTCCAAAAATACATCCAAAGCCATTATTTCAGGTTGTAGCCCAAGGCTTTGACATCGGATGTAGCGGATCATTGAAAGCCTTTTTAACTGGCTGAATATTTAGCATGTGCAGAAGGACACAGTGAATCAGGGAACTTCTCTCTGATGCTTGGCAGAGAAAGTTCTCCTATATCCGTGCAAAATTCCGTTATAATTCTCCTGTATCCGTGCTTGGGGCCACCGGTGGAGGACTGGAGCTGGATAGGAAGTTATAGATTTAACCCAGAAAAAGAAGAAAACAGGATTACAGGAAGTCAAGAGGTCCAAAAGTTCAAGTTGATAAAGTTCCCAAAGCCAGTAATTTCACCTGATTTTGTAGCTCATGTAAAGCTTATTTTTGACTTTCCGGACAGAAGCCGCTTCTGTGAAAGCCCTCCCAAACGGGTATTAAATCCTAACCAATGTTTTTTAATCGCCGTTGACCGGATGGTTAGATTGTTCGGCCGCTTCAGAACCATTTAGGCAATTGGTTTCGTTTTACCCCAAACCTGGTGTCTGACCAAAAACCGTTGAATTGGTTAACGAACCATTGGCCCAGACAGTTGAACCGTTGATCGGTTCAATGGTTTTGATCATTTTTAATTTAATTATTTTTTTTAATTTTTTTTGTCATAACAGGCCATCCATTTGAACTGTCAACCTTAAAACCGGTGACCAAAACATTCCAGTTCCGGATCATTTTTTAAAACATTGATTACTAACTATGAAACAGAGTTCATGAATCACAATTTTGCCAGTTTCTCTTTTACTTATTTTTATTTTTTTTAACCACACTGACTAGATTTCATTGTTTACCAGGTGGAGGACATGAGATGGGTACAGCACAAACTTAGAACAAAGAGTTATTGAAAGCTATAGCCAGAAAAAATTGTTAACGCATTCTACAGTTGTTACATTCACAGTGGATCGGTCTAAGAATCAAATTCGTTAGTGAAGCAGTACAGCAACTATAAAGCTCATTGATGTAGTAGTGCGTAGAACGGTAGAACAAGGCTCAACAAGCCATAAAGGCATAAAAGGGATCTGCACATGACCTACAACAGATGCAACTCTGTGATGTAATAGTCATAGCCACTAGATCAAAATCAGTAACCACTGATCAGGAATTTTCAACAAATTTATTGTTTAGCTTGGATTATGCATGTTTTATATTGCATAGTCACAGAAAATGAAGGAAAAGAAATGGAACTTAGGAGACCAGATAACAGCATTGGTGAAAAAACTTCTATCGGGCTAGTAAGGCCCCGTTCGTGTCAGGGCAAGTGTTTTCCAGGTAAAACTTGTCTGGACAAGCAAGTTTCTAGCATTCTTGTATGCTGCCAGGGATAAAGAGAGAGAGGTGAGAGGGAGAGAGTGCTTATTAACTTCAACAAACGGGTGGGTAAACTGTTTACCGTGGGGCTTAATATAGAAGCAAATGAATGTATGTATTGCCGTCAATTTATCGGTTGACCGATTTACCCCATACTAAATACCGACAAACGAACGAAAAGGGCCCAAATATGACACTGGCAAAAAACATTCAAAAGAGATTGAAGACTCCAGTAGTTTCTTGTGCAAGTATTAGTTTCTTCAGAGTAATCTGGGATAATAGATTGTACCATGTTAAATAATTCAGGAAGCATCTGATTCTTGGGAGCAAGCTGGTAAACCATCAATACTATTCGTTCTTTGCTGATAGAATCAATTTCCATAAATTACTAGTTCATTTCTAATTGATGCAAAGCCGTGGGCAAGGGCAATACTGCCAATATCCCAAAACTACTTGGAACTCTTGTGAAGCGTTTGAAGAACCGTCTCAAATCCCAATGATTTCATAGGTTTTCAGAGCCTCAATAAATCAAACAGTGGAAAGAGACCTATTAATCGGTGTCAGGTGAACGGTGATAGGTGCAGGAATATATCACAATACAAAGCGGGGGAACTGGCGACAAACAAACGAAAACCCCAAAATAAGGTTTAACAAAGAATTTTATACTAACCATCTCCAATTCCTACCAACTTCTACACAAATCAGGAATAAAAAAATGGTTAGTTGGAACTGGGGATATTATTATCAAACAAACGAAAACCCCAAAATAAGGCCTAACAAAGAATTTTATACTAATCACCTCCAACTCCTACCAACTTATACAAAAATCAAGAATAAAAAATGATAAGTTCATAGTAAAATGGAAGGGTACTCAGTATCCTTATGATAAATCAACTTCAATGTCGAAAGTCGAAACAAAGAGCTGGTTCGAGGGATCTCACCATCCTAAAACAGAGTAAGAGGGAAGGAGAAGAGAAAGAGGGAAGAGAAGAGAGGGGATAATAGGGTTTCTTACTTCATGCCATGGAGATCGGATTGCATAGTATTTAATTATTTATACACCTGCACATAGCTGAGACTGTGATGGATAACTAACTTGGGCGACGTGGCTTCCTTCTACAAACAAACTGCAGCGGAGTCGTCGCATGGGTGATGATGACCCCCGCCTGCTGAGTGACATGGGCCTGGGCTTCCTGGGTTGGTCTTCAAGGTGTTTTGGTGATGTATGGGCACATGGGAGATAAGATGGAGTACAATTTCAAGAGGAGGAATTCAAATAAACAGAGTGAAAGCAAGATAGAAAAACCCTAACCCTTCACTAAGAGTGAAGAAGATATAAGGAGATTTGGGATTGTCTTTTATAAAAAACATAATGGGTCGCATTGGTGTCTAGCCGACGAATTTGATCCAAGTAAACGAATCACAAATGCTGATTGGAATTCGATTTGATAGTAACCAGATCAGATTAAAACCCCATTAATTTGCAGTCCTACCCCGCGAACTGAAAAGCACTATCCATGGCAGACCTGGGGCTGAAAATGATGCAAAAGATTTACCTCCAGGAGCAATCTATTTCTATGGGCACACGCACATCCGATAGAAAAAGCTGAAGGCTGACTTTGTAAATATGCAACTAAACTGTTTAACACATGGATCTCAGCACATTTAATACTCTTATGACCCAAAAGCCTAGACTATTATTGAGCCCCTATGTACCATAACAGAAGAAGCAGATAAAAGATTAAAAAAAAAGAACCAAAAGAATAAAAGAAGTGAATACATGAAGCTCTGTAATGCGTAATCACTAAGCATTACAAACTAGTTATATTATACAAAAGATACCTGGATATAAACATAAGAACTCAGGTAGAGGAATCTCTATACTCAATTATATTATCACTGTACAAAAGATATCTGAACATAGTGATAGGAAAACCAAGCCAATCCTCTCATGAAGAGTTCTTCTGCAACTGAAACTATGAAGTTCAAATATTCCTGCTCTGACGTTATTTTGCCTAAAATAAATATAGCATGTACTATGAACAGAACTTAAAATTTTAGGAATTTAGAATCACTTGCTCTGTCATATCAGGCTTTTTGCAGCAGGGCTGTACAATTCAGCCTCGTCAAAAAGATCCCACTCATCATCCAAAAGCACCTTAGGATTACCATTGACAACTGTTTCTTCACGGCTGGTCTTCTGTGATATGCCATCAGTTGATGGTGTTGAGTTTGTATTCTCCAAGGTTTCAGTTGTGAGGCTCTTAAAAGATGAACTTGAAGAGGCTAAGATGCAACTTGTTTGGCTTGATGATAGTGACTTACTGATTGGGACACGCTCATCAAACTTCTCCTTGAGCAACTTCACGTCCTGACAAATAACAGCTATTTCTCCTCTGCAACCAAAAAGAGGGGAAAAAGCAATTCCTCATGTTTAATGGGCCAAAGCTATGAACTTGGAATTTCATGGAACTTAAAGAACTTAAATTTCCTTCGAACAGTAATCAAGCAGAAGATAGTCCAATGAATGCTTTAGTTGAACCATTAATCAAGTTTTGGGAGCAACCCCAGATCTCTTAAGAAGAAATGATAGTTCACCATTAACAGCTGTGTTTTCTAACCATCTTAGTTTCAGAAATTCATGCAAATTGTCAAAGCCCTAATTGGTGTTTATGCAAAAGGCCTAATTGGTGTTTATGCAAAAGGCCTAATTGGTGTTTATCCCCGCACTGATGCATCTTATGTAAGAAGAATGGTGAAAGCTGTTATCACTTGTTAGTTTCTTGCCCTTTTGTTTCAGATATTTCTAATGGTTGCAGGTGGACCTCCCCTTCAAGTGTGCAAAGCTTGTTTAGCTCCACATCAGTGAGGGATTTAAAAAAGAAAGGTAAAATATTGTGGAGATGTACTAGAGCTGCTGTTTGTTGGACAGTCTGGGAAGAAAGAAATCAAAGATTATTTCATGAAGCTCTTTGGGTCAAGTCTTCGAAGCTCTTTGAAGACTATTCAGTAGGAGACATCATTAGAAATTGGGAAGAAGTGGCTCGATCAGCTCCCATGTCCACTGCTCTTAGACCTGTTTGGACTCCACCAGATTCAGGTATAGTTGGCCATTCAGTAGGAGACATCATTAGAAATTGAACTTTGATGGTAGCAGTGAAGGAAATCTTGGCCATTCAGGTATAGTTGATATTTTCAGGGATGAGGAAGGTCGAATCATTGCTATGTTCTCAAGACCTATAGGTTGGGGGGGTTCACTGAGAGCTGAAATCCTGGCAGCTCTAGAAGGATTTAAAAGAGCTAAGCAGTTGAATATTAATAAGTTGCTGGTGGAAGGTGACTCTCAGCTGACTATTAGATGGTTGCAGAAGGGAAGTGTCCAGCCTGTGGAAGTTCTCAAATGAAAGAAAGAAAATTAATCAGCTAACTCAGAACATGATTGTAAGAGTTCAATGGGCCAAGAGGAGTACCAACTCCATGGCTGACACTTTGGCTAAACAGGGGGTGGGAAGAACAAATCTCTTTTGGGCTATCTTGTAACATGTGTTTTCAGTTTTGATAGGGAGGGTTAAGACTTTTTACCCCTCCATTCTGGTTGTAATTTTCATCTCTCCTTTAATAAAATTATTGTTATTGATCCAAAAAAAATGTCAAAACCCTAAAGAATATTTCAGAGTGTTTTTTATTTGATAGTAAAAGAAAAAATGTATTAAAACAAAAAASAGAATACAAGACTTACAAATCAGTACCCAGCTTTGTATTCTTTGCTTTAATAAAATTACTGTTATTGATCCAAAAAAAATGTCAAAGCCCTAAGGAATATTTCAGAGTGTTTTTTATTTGATAGTAAAAGAAAAAATGTATTAAAACAAAAAAGAGAATACAAGACTTACAAATCAGTACCCAGCTTTGTATTCTTTGCTTTAATAAAATTACTGTTATTGATCCAAAAAAAATGTCAAAGCCCTAAGGAATATTTCAGAGTGTTTTTTATTTGATAGTAAAAGAAAAAATGTATTAAAACAAAAAAGAGAATACAAGACTTACAAATCAATACCCAGCTTTGTATTCTTTGCTACTGTCCAGCTTTTTGGGTAGTAAGACATTTTTATGATTGAATTCATGCTGTTATTTAACAAAATAAAAAAAGTCAGACCAATCCACCACCTCATCCACCCACAACCACCTCTAAGAACGCCTCCAACCTCCCTCCCTTTTCCCCGCACTCCATCTGAAATTTTTAACTGGATTCCTTAAACTCTTCATAAAATGATAAAGTTGGTTCTTGAGGTTCTTCATTCCCTCCATTTCCTCTAGCTTCCTAAATATTTCTGTAGCCATAACCTCACCTCTAAAAGGAGCACCCCCAATTTCTTGCCAATCACCTTCTTGGGTTTTATTTTCTTAACTTTTATCAATTCGAAACAAAAACTCTTCAGACTACTCTTCCATTACCTCCCTTATTTTGATCTTCCTTTTCTCTCTCCCAGCATCTTTCTACCCACTTCTTCAACACAAGCTGATTCATCTAAATTATCAATACTTGGTTTTGCACTATATTGTGACTTCTGAGATATATCTTGTGATAGCAACCAGCAATTAACTTTGAATGCTTCTATGTTCTGAGATAACACTAACTAAAACTTTTTTCCTTCATCCCAGCACGAGCACCTCCTTTCACCTTTTGATTATCATTAAACGCCTACCAGAGAATCTCTCTCAATAATGACCATTGAAGGCATATCAAAGGGAACTTTGTTCTGATTTTGGTTTAATATTTCAGCTACCAGAGAATCTCACTCAACATAGACCTGGTGACTAGGACCAGTACATTAAACAGTACAATACAGGTACTAGGAAAAACGTGGCAGAAAGGTTTTGTTTGCTAGAACCTAGTTACAGGGTTAAATGGGTAAGATTTTATGCCTGGCCACAATAGATGGATCCTAGACAATCATTTTGGAGTGAGAGGATTGAATATAGACGGGTAGTTTAGAGACAACAGCTAAAATTCCTAATCAATGTTTGCAACAAAAACAAAAATGGCCATGACAAACATTTTATAAGAAAACGATCTTTTTAGGAATACATTTATTACTAGATTCCCAGATAAAACCTGCCCTTAACCAATGCTTTTGGGATATGCAAAAAAGTCTATAGTTACAAATGCATTCAAACAATTTCACGCTAATCAAAAAAATGTATGCAGGGTTTTATCATATAATTTAGAAACCCATATAATCATAAAGCATTAAGGCTGAGAGACACAACATTGATTGGTTTCTTGTGGGAAGGAGGGGCTTTTTTACCCAGCATTAACTAATGAACCTGGGCCATTCAACTAATGATGGTAAATTGCTAAAAACAATATTAACTGATATTATAGAATTGGCATGATAATTTTATTCATTGTCAATAGGAAATAATCTCAGGCAGTTGGCCCCATCAAATTTTTACCACAGCCTTCCAAGGATTTTAGTTTGGCTGCAGTGACTGTGTAGGCCATTGGCTACATTTGCCCATCAAAATTAACCACATCACTACATTCTACACTCTTCCATACTCCTAATATTCAAAGTTCTAGATTCTCTTAAAACATAGACAGGATGACATATAACCCAAGGCTACATCTACACAACATCATGACCAAATTGAACTCATAAATGAGCGGGTTTATAAAATAGAACATCTCAAAACGCATTTGTGCATTAACAATTGCAGGTAATGCAAGGCCCTGGAAGAGCAAATGTTGTTTCAAGCTATAGATTGCATAAAAAAAAATGAGGATGAAGGCTTACTGAAGTATATCGACAATGTGGCCACGGTCAATGAGAAAGTCCCGTAACTGCAGCATTGAAATATCATTCAAAGGAGTTCAGCTTAACCTGAATTTTGTCATTTGGGAAAAGAATGCAGACTACCTAGAAATGTTCAAATTAGACTATCATAATAAGCAGAATCTAGAACTGGTCTATTATTACCACCTTAGAATTCTCCTCTGCTTCTAGCTGTAGCTTCTTCGACTCCTGAACCACCTTCTCCATGGCAAGTTCTTGCTCAGCAAGGGCCTCCTGTGCARATTTTTCCTTTTCCAATTTCTCCTGCTCAGCTGCTCTTCGCTCTTCCTCTGCAGCAGCTAGTCGTGCTTCAAGAGCCTGATGCATCTGCAAAGGACTTGCATGCTAAAGTAAGAAAGGGCTCATCAAGACATGAAACATCTTTCATTGGACTTTTCAGATGATTTAAAACTTAAAAGCCTATTGAAGTACCAACTACCAAGAATGGTGTGAAAATCGTTGGATTGGAGGATGGTCTGCCAACCATTGGATTGTAACTTGATGACAGTGTTTTAAAAGCACAAGGTGCAAAAAAGGAACAGGGGTCAATTTGCGCCTGAGGCGCAAGACGCAAGGTGAGGTGCACGCCTTTTTGAAGAAAGGCAAAAAAATAAAAATAAAAAAGTCAGAAAATTCAAAAAATTCAAAAAATATTAAACATAATATTAAAAATATATATATAAACGAAAAGTTTAAAATAAATGTTTTAAAAAACCTATTATCTAAAATTAAAATACATAAACATAAGATGTAAAGCATATTCAAATGAGAATTTAAAAAAAAAAAATCAAACATATAAAACATTTTCAAGCATGTAAAACCTCTAATCTCTTTTTTTTCACTCAATTGCAATACTTCACATAGCTAATGTAATGTAAAACATATTACATTCCTGATTCTTATGAGCCGGCTTTGTGCCATGCCCCTCAAGGCAAGCCGAAACAAGTCCACGTTAGGTCTTGAATTCTTAGTTTTCACACAAAAAATAATGATTCTATAGTTTTAATTGCTTTTTAAGAAGGCATTTTATTAGGATGAATGAATGAACAACATTACCAAATTGGGGGACTTTTAAATCACTGCTTGATGGGACTTGTATTTTGTTAATTTTCTTCTCATCAAGGTGGGAGTTGATGAAATTTTGAGCATCGCATTAGAATTACAACAACACCATAGCCGAAACAATGTGGTCCCTTATTGACACACCATTAAACTAAATGATGATGGTTGCTGCCTAGACAAATTGGTATGAACAGGTATCAAGGTTCAAAATAGCCCGTATCGGCCAATACATATCGTATCGGGAGCTTCCCTATATGCCCCTACAGAGGGTGTATTGGGGTTTTGACCGGTTCAGGGGGTGGACAGACCTTAAACCGGGCCCTCTGAACCAGATTTGAAAAAAAAACTAAAAAAACCACCGCCGATATGCCTCTACCAGGGTATAGGTGGTGTAGTTTGAAATCATGAAGAAAGTCAGAAACTATTCCAAGGTTATTCGGGTCCAATTTGAAAGGATCCAATAAGAACTGGGCAACTATCATTTCTCTGTACTGGAGCTTGCCACTTCATTATCCTTGTTGATTGGATGTGGAAATGCAACTCAAAAACGATGATCAGGAGGGGGGGTAAGGGACTCTCCTGGAAATATGGGCAAATAATCATAGAAGCAAAACATCCGATCCAAGCTATGAATACCTCATTCAATAGGTCAGGAGAATTGCAAACTATTGGTTGATTCTCTAGCTAGAAAATGGGTATACAGGGCACAGATTATTGACATCTGAATGCAATCTAGACCAAGGTCTCAGGATGAATATGAACTGGGGAAACCAAACTCTCTCCAACCAAGAGAGGAAAAAACTATATGGAGATGTCTTACAGCGGTGGTATTATGGACTGTGTGGGAGGAAAGGAAACCAGAATTTTAATGATAGTTTGCAGTTTGCTCGACCTATCAAAGGAAGGTAACTGTCACCATTATATTAATTATGTTAGATAATAACATAAGGTGTGCATGAGATGTGCATTGTTCTAAGCCTCCAGAATTTTATTTAAACACAGATCCTTTAGCATGACATAATTAAAATTGCCATGTAAGGATTTCAAATGCATCAGTGAGAAGAAGGTAAGTGTAACAAGAGTTAGTTAAAATCTTAACATTTAGGATACAATTCAAGATTAAAAATTTGAATCACAAGGGTTCCAATTCTAATGTTACATCTGAGTCCAATTATAAAAAAAAAAAAAAATGTTACTTTTTAAACCATACAATTCACAATTCATGTGATGTGAATAAATTGAACTGCGACCTAGTTCTTTATGAGTTCACATCTGCGACCCACAAGGAGGCACCCCACAATGCCCCACAGCACATCCCCACCTTGTATTGGGAACATATCCCATACTTGTTATTGGGAGATGGTCCCAATACAAGGTGGGGATGTGCTGTGGGGCATTGTGGGGCGCAGATGTGAACTCATTCTTTACTTTGAAATTCCTTTTTTATGATTTTTTCTAGGGGCTTTTATTTTAAAACCTTACTAGAATAAGACATAGGTTATTTAAGACCTATTTAAAAAACTAATTGATATTGTTTTTCTGGCCTATGTAGGTTAAACTGTTAAAGAGCTATTACATAGGGGTTAATAAACTTTCTACATCAAACTTGATTATATCTTCTTATGTTTCAAGCGTATGGTAGTAAATTCTGTGGTATATATGGATTAAAAACGGAGTAGAATCATTTCCTGTATGCATTTAGGTATATATTTTATTTTTGATAAATTTCTAAGATGATACGATTCACATTTTGATTCAATTCAATCTTCTTTATGTTTGATCAGATTTTCAGAGCATTGACTGTAAACAGCATAATGGAGAACAAAAAGCCTTAGAATTGCACCTCATCCAGAATTGCCAGAGATTTGTCCCTTTCCTCTGACAAATTAAGAAGACGAGACTGAAGTTCCCGCACTTCGGTCGCTAAAATGGCCTTTTCTGCAAAGACTTCTCCTGCATGCTACAAAATCGAGAAACCAGGATTTTATTTTTGTATCTTGAAGAACAAGCATTGCATAAAAAAGCAATACATAATCTATAACAAGTAACCAACCATATCATTTGCTTCTTTTGCATGGCGTAGCATCTCTTTAAGGTCTTCAACCTTAGCAAGGATATCTAAACCTCCCTTAGAAGCCTCCTGTTTGGCCTGTTCTGCTGCTTCCTCATGAAGATCCACCTCTCTCATCATCCGCATTACTGATTCCATGGCTGAAAACAAGGTTTTCTGCACCATAATTTGAACTGAGAATTAGAAAGTTAGTCTATCTAACATGTAGCCTTATCATAAATTGGAAATGTAATTTTAGAAACACTGACCCTTTCCATCATTCTGAAAGAGGCCAAACCCTAAAGCTGCTGTAATTGTTTCAAGTGCAAATTGTATTTGTTGCAAATGCATGAGTGAGTTCTGTTTTACTTCTGGTACATGTTTTACTTTATTTTATTTGTGGACAGTAAAACGGGAGGTAAATTGCTGTCCTCCCCACCTTATATGAGAGAGAATGAACAATGAAGATGCAAATGATGAGATCCTAGCAGAAAATTTACCTTCCAAGAGGTGGAAACAAGGAAATAAGTGAACTGGTGAAAAATTTATACCAGGTACACTTTTGCACTGCAAACAAGCATAGCCTAAATGGTTCATAGAACTGCAAATTCTCTTAAATCCAAATGAAAAGAGGGAGGGAACCAAAAATTGTTTGAATGACTTTTTTTTGAACAAGGTAAAAATTGTTTGAATGATGTACTTGTAGAAGCAAAATAAACTAAAATTCGACCCCCCCAACTAACAAAATTGCAATCCTGGATAGACAAGGTAATGGATATGTGGAGTGCTGGGGGAGACAGTACAATAAACTGAATTTAAAACCCCTAGATTACCTTGTTATTTTTGGCATCACTAATAATATCTTCAAGATGATCAATTCTACAAATTTGGCCAGATCTAGTAACCACAGCTGCAGCAGAGGATGCATCTTCAGCATCACCCATTTCTGCATCAAAGATCACTTGTTCAGAAGCACTCTCCAACAAACCACTTGCCCCTTGTTTCTCACATTCACTAAGAGAAGCCATGGCATCATTTTCCAGCATAATTCCAAAAGCAGCAGACTCTGATGCTTCGTTAAAAGATGATGAAATAACTAGACAGGTATCTGCAGCTAATAGGTTCTGTGCATCCAGTGAATTAGCATCTAGACATAATTGATCATGGCAAATCTCTCCAGAAGTAACTGAATGCGGATCATAAGTTACTGGTGCATTCAAATCTTGAAGATCAACATGACGAGCAACCGTACAATGATCGGGGACACTAGTATCTTCATCCATCAGAGGGCTACACGGCACCTGTGAAACCAGATCTAACACAATAGAAACATCTTGTTGCTTTGCCAAAGAAATCAATACTTCATTTTCAGCATTTGCACCTGACTGTTGAACATTATTTCCATCACAAAGATCTGAAATTGCAGAAGTAGTAATTCCTTCATTTACACATGCTGGATCGACAGAAAACAAATCATTGGTATGATCAATGCCCTTGTCACCTTCATCTCCCACATATTCTACAGTTGAAGGACCTGCATTTGATTCTTCAGCCTCTTCTTCATGCTTCTGCAGAGAACTATGGTCCTCTGATTGAACTCCATATACAATAAATAATCACTCATCAGACATAAATCAATCAAAGCAATTACCAATATATATAAACTAAAAGAAATCATGAAAAACCAAACAGCATAACGAGTTTACTGACATCATGCCTGAGATTGAGAACAAGGGAATATCCCTAGTACTTGCATTGCTCAGAAGATTAAAAACAATTCTTGGAAGCCCTTCAAGGAAGCACCCATATAATGAAGGTCTTGTTCATTATATATATATATATATATATATATATATATAGCTTCTGGAAACAGACAAACTTTGATGGATATACTGATGATTTCAGAAAATTAATGCCAAAGTTACATGAACATTTTGCAATTAATAAGAATCTTAATTCTTAAAGTTAATCTTCTTTATGCATTATCTAATATCTGCTTCCTGTAGAAGCCAAAAGCCAAAATGAGATTTTGGTGTCTTCACCTAGATAGAATTGGTTCCAGTTTCAGTAATAAATACAGTCCAGTGTTTCAATTACTATCTGCTACAAAAACTTCAGAAAAGGCTTCTCAATCTAGGAATCCACAGGACATTGTAGGAGCAATCTCTAAATGATGCCTAAAAGAGGAACGAATTTGAATTGAAGTCCCAAACAATAGGGGTCAAAACAAGGATTGAAAAGTACTACCTCCTGGAGCTGACAAAAGTCCAACTTCCTGGTCATCATTTGGAGCAACAGGTGCCTGTGATGGACTAGATGTAAAAGGAAGAACTTCAGAAAGAATAAATTCAACAGCTGCATCTGCATCTTTCGAATGTTCAATAGCAACTGCCCTTAGTATGCGAAGATCAACCTGTGTTATATAATGTTGAAAACGTGACTTTAGTTGGACTCAAGATTTAATCCAACAATCATCATATTAGAAATGACTAAGATTTCTTAATAAAGAACCAAAATCCCAAAACGATTTGAAAACAAAAATGTCAAGTAGAAAAACAAAATAAAACAAAAAAAAATGAGATCATTTTCCATCTCTTAATATTCTTGAGAACTAGATTACCAGATATGTAAATACGACTTATCTGTGTGACACCTTATTTCTATAGAATTATAGATTAATCACCAATTTTCCCTCTATTTGATATCTAAAGATATCATACAAAAAACTTTTTCGTAATTTGTAAATTATATAATATAACATAAAAAATCCACCAAAAAAAGGCCCTCAGCTGTTAAAAATCAAATCCACATTACATCCAGAATAGGAGAATCCTTCAAAAATAGCATCCCTATATTCCAAAAAAAAAATCAAAGCACAACAGGCCCGTGATGTTCTATATGGAACTAATCTTGAGTGAAGATAAAAGTAACCAATTGATTATAAAATTTCTAATTTCTCAACAGTTAACAGAAAGGGGAAAAAGAACAAACAATTTCGTATTCTTAGGGGGAAATTGGAGAATAAATAACCTTACCTGGGGAAATACCTCCTGCAGAGCACGAAAGACTGAATTGAAGCCCATATTAAAGATCAATCAAATTCTGCATGAAATTAGTAAATTTAAGTACCATATAAGCACTTTCCTTGTTTTGCAAGGAAAAGTAAGTTTCAAAAAAGAACAAGTGTATGAACTCCAAAGAGAAAAAGTTGTATCTTTCATACATTAGAAATGAAGATTAACAGACAATCGCACAGTGAAGTGGATCGTTAGGAAAAAAATTTCAAACCTAGAGCCAAATTATCGCAAGAACATTCAAAGAGGCCGCTCATTTCTAACCTCTAAACCTAACTATCGAAAACAGGCTAATTCATTACCGATGAAATGCTCAAGATCATTCAGAAACTAAATAAAATCCATCAAAATTGATCTGATTAACCCAACTAAGACAATCTATCTAAAGGAAAAATAAGCACACAACACGAAGGGAAAACAAACAAAATTCAAACCTGGGTCGAAGCAAACGCGAAGAACAACAATTGATTCACGGCGAAACTATGATAGAAAAATCAGCAAACGCAATGAGCATGCGAAAAATGGCGTGGGGAGAAAACAAGCAAAATTCGTGCTTAATTCTCAGACTAAAGAAATAAATAAACACAAAGGAGAAGTAGAAAACCCTAGATGAAGGAAAGACAAAGAAACGCGAACCTTCGTTGGGGGGCTTCCGTCTCGTCTTCTCTCCTAGGACTTGCGAGTGTTTTTCTCAGCTCTTGGAAACGAAAGAGAGAAACAGAGAGGGGTTTTGGTGGGGTATAGGGGGAGACGATGGACGCTTCGTATTTGTAGTCATCCGATTCGGAAGATGAATCGGCAGATAACGAAGTTCGTTCAAGACGGTAGAATCGGGAACCGAGCCGTGATCGGATAGGTCAGTCATCTTCTACCATATACACTAACGCCATCCAGTTAAATTGCACATATAAATATAGTTTTGTCTGTATCTGCATAATGCATACGAATCCAATTCGGTTAAGGCAAATCCGTTTATAACCGGATCAAGTATGGATACACTCCAACCCGATCCGATTTATTTATTTAGGTAAAGTTAATATTGCATGTTTTAATAGGGAAGTCAACTTGGTGGGTTGAGGAGCATTTTATAAATTCTATACCTTATTTGCTTCCCTAGACGGCTAGACCTCTCAAGTCCCAACCCATACCCTCTCTACATTTAGGGTGGAGTGGGTCGGTTTGACGGGTTGGATTCATAAATTGTATCCAATTTCCTATTATATATAAGTAATGAATAAGTAAAATAATTTGAACAAACATTAAAATGCTCAATTATTTGATTATTAAGGGGATGTTTGGAAGTGTGACCGTTTTTCTGAAAAACGGTGCCACGTTGGATTTATATAGGCGATTCCAAAAACGATCACATACATGAATATTTGGTTTAAGAGTTTTTTGAAAAACGGGCATGTCTCGTAAATTGGGACCCAACTATTGCATGAAACATTAAATTTGGTGTTTCATGCTTCGATGAACCATTGCCCCCAAATGTTGATTGATTGGTGATTACATGTATTCTATGCAGCGCTTACCTGTTAGCACATACATGAAAATTGGTGATGAAAATCATCTTATCAAACAGCATAGTGTTGCTCATTGCCTACGTGACAGAAACACTCTCAAATATATCAAGGTGTTTTTTTTTTTTTTTTTGTGAAGAACAGGTCTAGCAAGCATAAGTGTTTTTTTTTTTTTTTGTTTCTAAATCGATCCCAAAAAACGCCTATGCTTCCAAACACCATCTAAATTCAACACTTGATATACATAAATTCATGTCTTCATGCGGGGCGAAGAGTGTCAGGCATAGTCTAATACCATGCCCTATGGTACCCATACAGGTTGTAAAATCCAAAAACCTGTCCTTGCCCTAAAACCTGTTTTCAGACCACTTGAGTCAAAAACTAATGGTCAAAACTGTTGCATTCCGATCCGATTTTCAAAACCATGCTCATGGAATAGGGTAAATATCGCCATACCTATATATTAATAAGTTCTGTTTGAATGCTATATATATTGAATCCGGTGTAAAATATGATATTCAAAATTTCAAATGAATTACCAAAGGTCTACTGAATTGGGCTGAATGTCAATGGAAGACGCAATACTAACCTAACATAATAAATCATGTATAGCAGAACAAATCATGGAAGACCATGACGTATACCTGGGTTTTCCTTTCTTTCTTTCTAATTCATATTTGACATATTGTCAGTGAAACTTCGTTGAAGTTTCCAGTGGCACAGCTAGCTTTCCCAAATGTTGAGATAATCTGTTAATCCACCATATGTGCGTTGTTTCCTTGGTTTCACGTACAAGTCCAACAAAACAAGGCAGTGTTTGGATTTACTATTTGTATGCTGTCATTTATGAGAAATGTTCTTCATAGGGGATTGGATTGTCATGTTAAAAAGAGTGTTATTGTGTTAACATTCTTTTGCTAAAAACAAATTTGGGCTCATTTTGCTGATGAAACTATATATATTGTTAGGAGCTCGGACCCACAAGACATTAGAGTTGTACATTAGAAACATCTTTGGAATTTACATGTTATTATTCATGGAAGATGTTCTCACTATACAGCTGTATGTCTTGTGGGTAGGAGATCCAGATTATATTATTAGACCAAAAACTGACATGTTTATTTCTGATTGGGTTTGTAGCCAGTTGTAGATGCGAGTTTCTATGGTGTATTGGAAATTGGATTTGCTCCTCACACCAACCTCACTACACATCGCAGTCAAGAATTGGGAACATCTTCCTATGAATGACAACAATACGGGAGATCTTCTCAATGCACAGTTGAAAACATTGTGAGGTTGGTGTATGGTGTGTTCTGTGGGGCAAGTTGATTCAGTGAAGTTTTTCTAGGTTTGGGCTGGTTTAGATCTGCTCCCAATAAGCATCCAACCGCTGCACATAGGGAATTTCTCCCTTTTCATTCATTCATTGATTCGTGGGGAGATGTTCCCTGTGGCTGTAGTGTATTGTTGGCAGATCCCGTTTTAGTTTTGGGCAAATAATCCTGGTGATGATCTTAAGAAAAAATATCTTTATTTTTAAAAAATTAAAATTTGACTTTTAAAAAATAAATAATACTTTTGGAGCCAATATCTGAGGTGAACCTCTTTACTCTTACAACCCTTTTTTTAACTGAACAAAAAAAAAAAAAAAGCCTACCATATGGTAAAAAGAAACTATGCAACACTTTGCAAGAAGCATCACGAAATTTGGATATGCATAGACAAAAATGAAAACTTATAGGTAAGATGAGATAATGACTAAAGAAATTAAATTAAAAAAAAAAAGAGAGAGAGAAGGGAAGAAAAACTAAAGTAGAGGATTGAAGTTTAGCATAAATAAATAAAAATTTTGTTAGTTAACAAAATTGATAATGTTTATAAAATAAAGGTCGCCAATGTGTATATGATCTTGTTTTTTAAAACAATAACAACTGCCATATCAACAAATTCATACATATTGGTGAACACCCTCTGATAGGGGTATTCACCATACAGTCCAAACTATCAAACTGAACTTTGTGGTTTGGTTTGGTTCATAATGTATAAATATAAAATAATATATTATATTAATAATATTATTATTTATTAATACATATAACATTATTTATTAATTTGTCGGGCTTATTAATGTGCCCAAGGCCCCAAACTAAATTGAATCCGGTTCGGTTTGATTCAGTTATGACAACAAGTTCAGTTTGTTAGAATACCTAAACCAAAATGTTGGTTAGAATCGGACTGAAACAATCGAATGAACACCCATACTCAATATAATGGCCCAAACTGTATAATATAACAGTTTGGTTTGGTTTGAGAAGTTCTCAAACTGTATTTGATTGATTTGAATTGAAATCTTCTCCAATTTGCATTGAACAGTACCATGAACACCCTTGAGTGGATTTTTTTTGACAAAATTATCCCTAACAATGAAGTAATTGTGTAAAATGTTTTCTTTTGAATGAAGATTTCTGCTTTAACCTTCATTATTGAAGCACATTTACAAACAAATTTACATAGAAATAAACATAAAAATGATATTAATACTATTTCGCCATTCCATTCTATTCAATGTCATATCCTAAAATCATAGGCACTTAAGTCTTTTCTTACTATTTCACCTCAAGCAAGACTCAAAGTAGGGGTGTATGTGAATTGAGCCTACTTGCGAGCTATTTGGGTGTGGCTCCGTAAATAATTGAACTCAGTTCGAAGTAATCGAGTTTGAGTTGAGTTGTTAGTCAAACCGAGTTTGACGTAATATCCAGCTCAAGTGGCTCGCAAGCCTAATTGAGCTCATAATAAAATACTATTTTTTGATATATTTGTATTTATATTATAAATAAAATTATTCTAACATTAATTAATTTATAAAAATAAATAAATTTATAATTGATTTTCATAATATATTTTTATTTATGCTATCAATGATATTAATTTATCTATAATTTTTTATATTTTAATATGCTTAATATTAATTTATTTATAATTTTCAATGTTAATTTATTAATAATCAGCTCAAGTAACTCACAAGTATCAACTTGAATCAAGTTCGAGCCAAAAACTTGAATCTCGATTGAGCTCCAGTCAAATTTCAAGCTCTATGTTTTTGAGTAAGGATGTCAACAGATTGGATTCAGCACGGATTTGCCTCAACCCAAACCCAATCCTCTAGCGTCCCAACTTGAACCTGACTTTTTTTTTTTATTCACCAACTTGAACCTGCCTTTGTCTCACTCAAAAAAAAAAAAAAAGAAAAAATTCCAAACCCAACCCAACTTTATAAGATATAACTTGATACTGATTCAACTTGACTTATACCATTTCAATTATATTTTTTAAACCTAAAAACCATGGTTTTCAAAACCAGACCGGACCAGATGGTTGAACCAAAAAAACCGGGAATCGATCACCTGACCGGTTCCATTTTCCCCAAAACCGCTGAATCGGCTGGTTAACCGTTTGAACAGTTTTGACCGTTTTTCAAATTTTTAGTTTTTTTTAATTATTTTTATTTTTTTGTTAAATGGGTTGACCGTTCAGGTCGAACGGTCAAACCGTTTGAACCAGTAACCAAACCCCTGACCGGTTTGATCACTGGTTCGGTTTTATAAATCATGACCATTAATTTAAGTTAGGATTTTGTTTTATAGATTCTAAGATGTCATTTTTTCTATTAAAAAAAAGAAAAAGAAAACCAAAATCAGCATCTAAATAAATCCTAAACTTTAAAGTTGTGTTTGGTTTGAAGGAAAATATAGGGAAAGAAGGGGAAATGCAGAGAAACATATACAAAGTTTGTAAAAGTTTCCCTACATTTCCCTTCCTTTCCCTACCTTTTCCTTCAAACCAAACATAACCTAAGGAATGAAATTGTAAAAAATTACAAGAATATTTTGTATATGTGCAGGGCATTATGACCTGGTAGGGCGGGTCAGTCAAAACCCAAACCTGCATAGGATTGGGTCGAGCCAGGCTTACAGTTTAACCTGACCGACTGATATCCCTATTTCTGAGTTGAACTTGAGCTAGAAACTATATATATATATATATATATATATATATATATATATATATATATATATATTAAAAATCTAATAGTTTGCAAATAGGCAAGGTATGATAACCACTACTATTAATATCTATTAACCTCACCAAACTCTACCGATGACCCAAAAAATTGGTACGTATCATTGTTTACTAATACATTACATTGCAATATTTTGAACTTTACAAATTACACCTAAGTCCTTTTTCAATTTGCCTTATATCTATCACATGCATGCTTTGCGTAGAAAAAATTTGGCTGTCCACATTTAACAGCCTATGCTGTCCACAGGGCTAACATATTAATCTGTATGGACTCTATGCAATAGTAATAGTGTTAGAGACAGTTGGAGGCATGGCCACGTGGACGAATGTATCATTTGGAAAGAGCTCGTGAAGAGCCTTAAGTTTTCTCTTGCCTGCTCTAACATGATCATCCTCTCCAAAGCAAGCTTCCAGTGCGTTGACGGTACCAACTGTCAACTAGCTCAATACCTTGGCTGATTGTAGAATCAATACAATTATCAAACATGTGGATCCAAATCAATTCTAAATCTATCAAGTGGCTCTGAGCCTTTGACTCATTGAAGTGAAAGCCTAGGATCAAATCCCGCTGTATTATAATTAATTATATATATTAAATCTATCAATGCATAATTACATATATGTGAAAATTAATATATTTTTTTCATCAAAAATCAAAATTGGAATGGAAGAATCAAGATCTGCTCCTCACAGAATACTCATCACAACACCTCCCAGCTGTATATCGAAAACATCTCCATTATTATTCATGGGGGAGATATTCCCTCCCAATACATGTTGGATGTGCTGGGAGGTGCGAATCTCGATTCAGGATGGGGCGTTAAATCCAAATCCGGGATATATCTGGACTTTCGTAGCCTGTTGAAAATCCCATGAAGCCAAAACAGAGTCCGAATCGGAGTCCACGAGAACTCTGCCCACATTCATCGGAGTCATACATCTCTGCCTATATTGTGGGTAGGCGTGGATAGAGTTATCGTGAGCAGGTGATCCGGACTCGCCAAAACAAACCCCCTAAAAAGTAAAAATAGTTTGTCATCCTTTATAACGGGCTATGAGTATGATGACGAAGGTTTCTGTTGGAACACGAGAGAGACTTAGAATTAATTTTTTGGTGTAGGAGAGTAGAGAGCTCCGGTAGACATTAATTGCATGGCTCAAAATATAATATATAATAATTATTTTATATTTAATTGATATTTTTAATTCAGTTTTTACCTTTTTTATATTTACAAAAAATTTAAAAACTAGAATTTGAAGCCAAAAAAAGTTACAATTCAGTGCACAAAGTTATGGCTTAAAAGTTTACAATACATTTAGTGTGAAACCCGTGCCATGACCCGCTCACCTAATCAAACGGGTCAATGGTCCAACAACCCAGGTCAAACAATTTTTAACCAGATTTTTTATCAATTCTCAGGTTTTAGTAAAACTGGACCCATAATCACGGCCAAGTGACTGTTCAAACTTCAAACAGTTCAACCGGCAAAATCAACGGTTGAAAACATTGGTTTTGTCTGGATGACTAAAAATGATCGAGAAAAAAATTATCCATTCTCTTCATTTTCTGTTGTCTTCGTGTCGTCCTAATGCATTTCAAATCAAAAGGACAAATCAATCTCATTTGGATGGTAAATAAATTTAGGGGTTTTCACTAACCAACATATTCCATGACTGCTCTTGTTTTCTACGAGTCTATGAGTCTATGACGATGCTTGAAAACCTTTCTTGGAAAAGATTCCTAGGAGAATTAAAATAGTACCCAGATAAACCTAAACAACAAGGAGAGTGAATGTAATTATGTAAACTTAGCTCGAGTTCAAAAGCTAGGAAAATAGGAAACACGAACACTGCAACATTGGTACATATCCATAACTCAGCCGTAGTCATCTGGTCTGGTCAACATAAATTTTGGCACACACAATCTATTATCTGGGCCTTGATCCCTTGTTAAATTTGTGAATCAACAGTTAAGAGTTAAAAATCTTGAATTTTAGCTCTGAATTTTTCTGCAATGTTACTCGAAGCAAAATATCCAAAAGTAAAAAACGAAAATTCCCTATTTACCAAAAAATAGTAAAAGTGTCCATAAAAATGAAAAATCCACTAAATTCTAAAACACTGACGTCTTAAAAAATCTATAAATTTTCTGAAGAAAAGATTACATAGAAGTATTATGATGGCTTCCAAATGAAATGATCGAATGTCTTGAACAAATTGCAAAATGAAAATTCTTACCAAGCTACATAATGTACCAGAGCATCTAATATGGACTTACAGATTTATCAGGTGTACCTCCTGTTCTGGTTGTTCTCATCCTCCTCTCTTGATCTTTGGGAGCTTTATCTTTATGAGTTCAACAATGGCAATCATGGATGGGACTTGCAGATGTAAGCATAAAAGAACCTACTTCTCAGCAAATTCTGACTGCGTTTATGCTTTTCATTGACAACAATCAAGAGGATTTCATCAATGAGTGAAGAATTTAGATATAAGATGGTCCAACTTTCAGAAGGATTTCAAAAAGGGGACCAAGAGACAGTAAGAGCTGAACTAAACAACATAAAAAGAAAAAAGAGAGGGAAAAAAGTAAAAATAGTAGCTGACCAAATTGGGCTCCTTTAGAATTAGACCTTAATATACAAGACAGAAGTCATGTATGTTTCTTGACTAGTAGTAAAGAAACACTTTAATTATTTCAACTAAAAGAACAGATTACATAAGAAGAATATGGGCCCTCTCCAAACACATTTATATATCGTGTTCTCCACTTTCTACAAAGAATATGGATATATCCAGTTATCCACCTTTTCTAAAGAATAATAAATAATTTACTTTCTTTTTATCTCTAAGGAGTGAACAGTACAGGTATTTCTCTGGTAGACGATTAATACAGGTATTTTGACTAAGTTATTTTCTTTTTTTTTTTGTAGAAAATCAGTATTTCTCATTTATGGGGTTCCATACTGATGCAGAGGGGGAAAAGAGGAGAAAAATAACAAAAACTTACGTGCATAAAAATTTCACCTTAAGTTCTAATACCACACCAAATTACAGAAGCTCTTTCTTTGAGGAGATGTTACCTCCCTCTGTGATGGTTTGGTTCAGACGTTCAGTTGAACTTGTGGGCAAACATTGCATCACTTGTTCGCAAGAAGAGGTTCTTGTAATCTTGTCACGTCGGAATCATCATCTGCAAAATTCTTTGGAGTTTGCCCTTGCCTACTTTGACCTCCCTGAGGAAGAAGAAGAGACCATTAAAAAACAAAGCTTTAGCTACGTATACACATAGTCAGGAACGAGTACAACATTGCAAGGTTCATCAATCATCAACAAGGCTAGACCATATCCAGAAAATGTACTCAGTTCAAAGTATTGATACTTATCGTGTTTTAAGGGTCACTGAAACGCTAAATACTGAGAGTTAGGTCCTTTTAATAGGTTTAAACATTAATATCCATCTTAATTTATATAGGGCAGCCCAGTGGAGACTTAATATACCTATATCTAAATTATCGAAGTAAAGAAAATAAAAGAGTATCGATGGTTGGACACTGTTGGAAGCTCTCGATTACTTTGAACCATGAATGTAATTTATACTTCAACTAGGCTTTTAATCACTGAAGTTCTTTCTACCTGATTACCAAGAATTGAAATGAATCTTTGTACACTAGTGAGACACTCTTTGACGGTGCAGTGCAGCTTGCAACAAGGTTCATTCCCACCTGTATCCTTTTGATGTAATGAATGTAAAACCCACCAATCATCCATGAAAAAATGTAAAATCCACCAATCAAAACTAGCCAAAAATTAATTAGTTAAAAAGTTTGCTTCTATTTTACGAGCATTTCATTATTCTGGTACAATAAAGTACCATTTATGAACATTTAAAATCATCCTTCCATGATGGACGCTGATTTCTTGCTGTTCCAATATATGACCCATTTTCTGTAGTTGGTATTTGTACTCATGGAGAGAAGTCAGAATATGAAAGAAAAATATGGACACAGTATTACATTACAACATATGGCTTCTACGTGTTGAAGCACCTCAGAAGCTACAGAGTTTATAACCCTTGCAGCCAAAATTCATGATTTTGACAATGATCCTGTCACTGTTCTTAACAGCATTTTAATGCTTTTGGGGTAGAAACCGTTACTATTACTACTATATCTGAATGTAACTGAAGCTCTATGAAGCGGCATACAAGAAAAGATCTATGGTTATAATGTAACTAAACATGTGCCAACTGTGGAGTAGGTTAACCATGCACATGGGGGCTTGAATGAGCAGAAGACCATTGCATGACTTCTATAGCATCAATTGTACTGCTTCTTTGAGTAAATTAGCAAAGTTTTTGTTTTTTTTTTTTTTTGTATCAATGAGTAAATTGATAAGTTGGAAGATGTTTTCTTTTTTCCTTTTCTTCTTCTCCAATGTGGAAAGAGTATAATGTTTTAGGAGGGATTTTTTTGGAAAAGTTTGGATATTGTAATCTGATTGTTGTATTTTTTAGTTGTTTGTTCTCTTTATGCAGGCAAATTCTCTTCACCTTTATCAATCAAAGAAGAACATTCTGTACCTGGCTACAAAGTGCACTTTGACAAAAAACTTAAACTTCTTTGCATAACAACATTCTAGGTTAAAGCAAAAAAGGAATAAACAAATAATCCACATAAAAATAGAGGTGAATGTGCCTGATGTTTGTTGATAACATAGTATTAATTGATGAAACTAGTGAGGGATTAAATGAAAAATTAGGTTTATGGACAACTGCATTGGAAACAAAAGGTTTTAAAATAAGACTAAAGCAGAATATATGCAATGCAAATTTAATAATAATAGGAATGTAAACCAGGGTACACTTGAGATTCGAGACCAAGAAATAACTCAATGGCCTCTTTTAATGCCTTGGTTCAGTAATTCATAACAAAGGGGAGATTGAGGAGGATGACACCGATAGAATTAGAGCAGGATGGGCAAAATGGAGGGGTGCATCTAGAGTGATGGGAGAGGCAAATACTGAGTTTGGCTAAAAGGAAAATTCTATAAAACAGTTGTAACACCAGCCATGTTGTATGGAGCAGTGTTGGGCAGTTAAGAAACATCAATGTCCAAAAAATGAGTGGCAGAAATGTGAATGCTTAGATGAACAAGTGGTAAGGATAGGAAGGACAGGGTCAGAAATGAAGTCATACAAAGGAACCTAGGAGTAGCTCCAATAAGTGATAAAATGAGAGAAAGTAGATTGAGATGGTGTGGTCATGTGCACAGAAGACCATCTACAGCACCTATTAGCAAAAGTGCACTGTTACAAATTGAAGGGATTAGAAGAGCTAGAGGCAGACCAAAAAGGAATTGGGTGGAGGTTATAAGAAAAGATTTAAGCACCCATAATTTAATGATGGATATGGCACTGAACAGAACAGAATGGTGAAGCAGGATTCATATAGCTGACACCATATAGTTGGGATAAGGCTTAGGTGATGGTGATAATAATAAAAAGAATGAGGTGGATGGGGATGGAGGAAAAGGCCTCTGGTTTTTTTCCGTATTTGGAAATTTTTTAATGAGTTTTGTGAAGTCAGAACAACAGAAGGTTTGAGATCAAGGATTGCTTTTAACCAAAGAAGGAATGTTTCAAGTTCTCCAGAAGTATAAAAAAATCTTGACATAGTGGCCTCAATGATACATGGATGGTAAGCCAAGTTTAGTAGGCTGGAGTGAAGGAGAACTTTTCCCTTCTCTTTGTGATTTTTGTCTCAGAAATCATGGTGTCTCATAAGCATATACCTTAAGGCCTCCAGTTTCTCTCTCCGTATTTGGGAAATTCTGCAATAAGTTTTGTGCAGTAGGAACAACAGAATTGAGATTAAGGATTGCTTTGATCAAAGAAAGAATACTTTAATTTATCCATTGAAATTCCAAAATGCTGGCATAATAGCATTGCACTCAACAAAATGTGGACATTAAACCAAGTTGGATTTATTCCAAGTAGGATGGAGCAGATGGAGCAAGGGAGAATTTCTCCCTTGTAAAATATGGGTATTAATATTTTTTTTTTCTTGGATGGCATCAGGAGCATGCAACCCATTGTTTTTTTTTTCTTGGATGGCATCATGAGCATGCAACCCTGTTCCAATTTTGGTTGCTCCTCAATTTTGAATGTCAACATTAGGAGCTTTAAGTGATCCTCCCTTAAGCAAATGCTGTTAGGATACCATCCAACAAAAACACAAGGACAGCAACAACATCGACAGGATAGAGATAGTAAACTACTTACTATTCCCTTCTGACCAGCTAATCTCCGAGTTGATGGAGCACGTGCCACTGATGAGGCAGCAGCTGCTGCAGCAACACGTATCCTGCCAGAGAGAGAGAGAGAGAGAGACTGTAAACATAACATACTAACTTTCATGGGCAACTCATAAATGCAAGTAAAAGCAAAAAATATCTAAAACTTTAATTTTGTGGTACCTTCTATGTACATCAACATATTCATCTGTCTCATCTACAATCTCCTCCTGAGATAGTAAATAAAAAAATTACAAAATAGTTAATCCATAAAATTAAAATAAATAAAAGTTAAAAATACATAAGCAAGTGAGTGTTTGACATTGAGGCTATCATATTATAACAACCCTCCATGATGGAAAAACCTTTTTTTTTCTTTTTTTTTTGGATAGAAAGTCTTTATGTTACAAATCTAAGAAAGGTCCACTACTCAGATGATCTAAACTGAAAAATGAATACTCCATTCTTTATCTATTTTCACTCTTTTGACAACATACTATTGAAGAGGTGAAACATCAAAAGAATGATCTAGAAGAAACAGTACGTAGGTAGAGACATGCAGTAGGTAACCAGAACAATATGTGGATTACTTGGAGAAGCTCTTCGAATACATCCTCCAGGGTGATGATACCAATGACTTCTCCATCTTCAATATCTTCTGGCAGACGGGGCATGCCATTGGTTGCTGCATCAGTTTGGTGATGAGGGGTTTGCCTGTTTAAAGTGACTGTCAAGGGAACCTTTTCAATATCTACAGTTATGCTTTCTGATTTTTCTTCCTGCCTAGGTAGCAATGGAACAGTTAATTTGGAATCATCACTAATGGCTTTGTTTTCTTCAGTTTTTTCTCCATCACCAATAAGAGGGAGACTCTTGTTTTTCCCTTTAACCTTCACAACAGCTGCCATATGACTGCTTCCCTTCTGAAATTCATTCAGAATATCATATAGAGGCATATCTGCAGGAACCCTGGGAAATGCTTCAGATATTAATATTTTAATTCTAAATATGTGAGTTAGAAAAAGAAATAAAAATAAAGTGGTTCAATAAGCACACCTTGGTATCCTCCGGATAGAAACAGCACTGACTGGGGTCTCTGTTTCAGCTCGTACAGTGAGAAGACTTTTCACCTAACAAAAACAGTTTGAAAAAGGAAAAGGAAAAGCGAATGACCAACTGCATAATCAATTAATACTAGCAACCACATAGTGAACCGGAGCCAGAAGTGTTCTTTTTCTTTTTTCTTTTTTTTAATATTCTCAGACTCACCAGTAGAAGTCCAATAATGTTTTTTGGATTCCCGGAGTAGACAGGAACTCGACTATGGCCCCGAGCAAGAATTTTCCCAATTGCTTCCCTGAGTATTCATGAACTTACATGCTTCAATAATCTTTCTTCCATAGCTTCTACTAACAAATATGACAATTTAGGGGAAAAAGACAATTTGGATAATGCTTAGAAGTTGACCTTCCTTTTGAACCAAAATATATATTAGAGGTGTCTAGGGCTCCCTTTGCCGAAGAAGAAAGAAAAACCATCTTTTCTTACAAAACATAAGTTTTTTATTAAATATCATTTTAGTTTTACTTCCTCTAGAAACTCTTAAACTATATACAGAGAGATATTTGACTATAAACCAATCTGACCTCAGAACTCTATCAAAACTAATAACATGATCTTTAAGCATCAGTACAAATTTTCTAGTCAGGATCCACTAAACTAAGTATATTAATAAAAACAAGCTATTTTTCCATCTAGACAAACAGGTAAGAATGATTGTCAGTCCACAGGGCAGGGGTTTTATGCCACATGCAGACTGACCTGGAAAATCCACTTTTAGGGCTTGCGAGCCTTTTAGATTAAATTTCTTCAATTTATGACACATTAACAAGGATGTAAAAGAATGATTGCCATTTGATACATGACAGTTGTAGTGACAACCCAGAAACAGAAAACTTGTTTGTGTGCTTCACCCTCTGTGGTAAGTTTTACCTTGAAAGCTCTGTCAGATGGCAACCATTCTTTTAAAGCCTTGTTAATATGTCATAAATTGAATCTAAAAGGCTTACAATCCCTAAAAGTGGATTTTCCAGGTCAGCCCTGCATGTGGCATAAAATCCCTACCATGTGGACTTGCAAGGAGTGGTTGAAAGGAAAAACTTTGGTTTTGTTGATGGGTGGTGTAAATGTATATTGGGTTGTATTAGGACTTGCCACTATTCGATTTTGGTGAACGATATGGTGGTGGGTAATTTTCCAGCCCTCAAAGGATTAAGGCAAGGGGCCCCCTCTCTCCCTTCCTTTTCACTCTAATTGTTGATGTGCTCGGAAGACTAATTTCTAGGGCCAATTCTAGAAACTTAATAAGGGGTTGGAGAGTAGATAGGGATGAGGTTCCAATCACTCACCTGCAATTTGCTGATGATACATTCCTTTTTTGTGAAGGAGGTGATTTGAGACGAGTGAGAAACTTAAAGTAGATTGTACAAAATTTTGAGCAAATATCCAATTTGAAAATCAATTTTGACAAAAGTTGTATTGTGGTTTCTCAATGTGAGCAAGAATTTTGGATTGTGTGGTTTCTCAATGGCCTATGACTTACTTGGGTTTACCTTTGGGGGATAATCCGAGAGGTTAGAAACTTCTAGAACCTAGTGGTTGAAAGGTTCACAAAGAAATTGGCTTCTTGGAAGAGTAGTTATTAACATTTGGGAGGAAGGATCACATTGATTAAGTACACATTAAACAATATGCTCTTTTCTCAAATTTCTCCTGATGATTCTGTGGAGAAATTGGGAAGAAGTGGCAAGAAGTTATTCCAGAAGGGAAAGGATAAAGGCTGTATGGTTACCCCTACCTGAAAACTATGTGAAGCTGAATTTTGATGGGAGCAGCAGGGGGAATCCAGGACCTGCTGGTATAGGAGGGGTTGTGAGAGACAGGGATGGCAAACTGTTAGCCTTGTTCTCTGGCCCAGTGGGGATTGGGGACTCTCTCAAGGCAGAACTACTTGCTGCCTTACAAGGAGTGCAAATTGCTAACGAACTGAACATAACCAATTTGGTGATTGAAGGGGACTCAAAACTGGTGGTGGGTTGGTTAAACGATCCAGAATCTGCAATATGGTGCTACAGGGATGAGATAAAAAAAGTTTTTATAGATCACAAACTATATGAACTTGAGGATAGAATGGGTGAGGAGATCAGAAAATGGGTTAACTGATACTCTAGCCAAACAAGGGGTGAATAGACAATCTTTGTTTTGGGCTCACCTGTAATATTCTTGTAATAATTTCTGTTCTGTTTTGTTTATAGAGAGATAGCATCTCATGCCTCTCTAAGGGATAAGGGATGCTTGTAATGCTTATATCTTTAGAATTAATAAAATCTATTCTCACTTATAAAAATAAAAAAAAAAGATCAGAAAAGTTGATGAGGGATTTTTTATAGGAGTCAGGGGAGGAAAAAAAGGATCATAGAGTAAGTTTGGGGGTGGTTTGTAGGAGTAAAAAGCATGTTGGCCTAGGTATTGGGAATATTCAGGAAAGGAATATTGCTCTTTTGGGTAAATGGTTGTGGAGATTGCCAAATGATAGAGACAAATTGTGGGCAAAGGAATATTGCTCATTAGCATTCATGGGCTTGCCGATGAAGGCTAGGTCACTAGGACACTAGAGTTCATACTAGGGCTACAAGAGATTTCCCATGGAAATCCATTCATGCCATCCTACCTTCTTTTATGGAAATATTGTCAAATTCTGGGAACGTGTTTAGCTAGGCAATTAACCATTGAAGGAACAATTCCCATCTCTCTTCGCCCTTTCCAACCGTAGGAGAAAGCCTATTTCTTTTTCTTGGTTTCTTCTAACTCCAGGTTTGGGTTTGATTGGGACTTGCCAATGAAGGCTAGGTTGCTAGGACACTAGAGTTCATACTAGGGCTACAAGAGATTTCCCATGGAAATCCATTCATGCCATCCTACCTTCTTTTATGGAAATATTGTCAAATTCTGGGAACGTGTTTAGCTAGGCAATTAACCATTGAAGGAACAATTCCCATCTYTCTTCGCCCTTTCCAACCGTAGGAGAAAGCCTATTTCTTTTTCTTGGTTTCTTCTAACTCCAGGTTTGGGTTTGATTGGGACTTGGATTTTAAAAGAGGCCTCCATGAGTTTGAATAAGCAATGTTTTGTCATTGCTCCAAAGTCTTTAAGGGGTATTCTTCCTTTGGTTCTTTCACTTGCGATCATTCTTTAGGTCCTAATACAACCTAGTGATAGTTTTGGAGTATTTTTTCCTCGTAAGGAGGTTTGGAGCAAACACATTCCACCTAGGATAGGAGATTTTTCTGGAAAGAATTAAAACTTGTGATTTACTCCAAAGAAAAATACCTAATTGGTACCTATCCACCCACTAGTGTTCTCTCTGTAAGGCCAAGGGTGAGACTTGCTATCACTTATTGATCTCCTACCCCTTCACTTATTCAATTTGGGAATGGTAATGTACAAAACCTGTTTGCCTCTACCTTTGTTAGTTAGCCGTAGAAGAGGGGAAGAATTCTTTAGAGGTGTACAAGGGCAGTTATATGTTGGATGATTTGGGAAGAAAGGAATTAGAGAACCTTTTCAATGAATGAGAGGAACAGGGGTGCTCTAATTGAAATTATTACCATTAGAGTGGTCCACTGGTGAAGTCCTTGAAACTTTTTGAGGATTTTCCTGCTAGTGACTTGACGAGGAAGTGGTTTGGAGTGGCTTGTTCTTGAATCTGGGACCTTCAGGTATTGGAGGAGTGTATAGGGATGACGAAGGAAGAATTTTTGCTCTATTCTCTGGTCCAATTGGTGTGGGTGTGGGTGACTCATTGAGGGCTGAATTAATGGCTGTTTTGGAAGGTGTTATAGCTAAGGATTGCATATCCGTAAATTGGTGATTGAAGGGGATTCAAAGTTGGTTATAAATTGGTTGCAAAAGGAGGAGGATACTGGTTGATAGGTTTACATTTATGAGAGAAGGAGAATTAGAAGGCTGCTACAAGATGTGGAGGTTATTCTACGATGGGTGAAAAGAGATGCTAATTCCTTTGTTGATTCTTTAGGTAAACAAGGGATGGGAAGAAACCAACTGTTTTGGGCTTTGTTGTAATCATATATCTAATTAAGGGAGAGCTGAGAGAGTTTATCTCTTGCTGTCTTCATCCTTGTACTTCCTTGCTTTTATTTTAATGAATTTGTTTCAGTTATTGATCAAAAAGAAAAAAGAAAGAAAATGTAGTTTGCATGCAAATGTAAAAAACAAGAAATATGAATGCTGCCTTCAGCCATATGATAAAGATAAAATCAAGGAATATTAATAATAGAAAACTCTAAACAAAAACATCAGAGAACACTTGAGATGTGGACTCACCAATCCAGTTTTGAATTAACATCCAATGAAAATGTTGACTCGATAGGTGTCATGGCTTCCTCAGCAGTCTGTTCATAGAAAGAAATTATTAGAGCCTTAGATTCATCCCATGACACAAACTGGCAACTAAAGCTTCAGACAAGGAACACAAATATTAAAAGTTACAACTGATGACAATTCATTCGAAAGAAGAAAGAGAACAGAACAAAACTCCGACAAACTCAACCCTACACCGCAAGCACAGCCAAACACAAAGAACAAACAACCCCCATATAACCTTACAAAAACAATAGCCACACTCTACCACACTATGAAAACACCAAACTCAAAAAGGCCACAAACCCACCAAATCAAAAGAGACTCAACTCCATTATTTAGCTCTTTCAACTGCTTAACCGGAAAACCTCACTGCTCCTCTCATAGAACTTTTTGATTTCTTCACCTTTTTTATGAGATCCACACAGAAAAGACCCCCTTTTAGTCTTGCAAAAACTTCAGAAACCTGCACTGCTCAAACATTTTTCTGCCTCCTGAGACACCTTCAGCATTGAGAACTTTCTCGAGATCCTTAAAATTCTTATGACTTGCATTTACTCTCTCTACCTCTAACACTACATTCTTCTCAAAGATCTGCTCAGCCTGTCTCATTGTCCTCTTTATCCACATTCATCTGCAACTGTAGATGAACTAAAATTCAATTGAAACGCCTTGACACCTAAATTAAAACCATCTTTATTATTCTTCGAGTTATCTTCCACGACACTTCTCTCCTCCAACTCTCTAAAAAGCTTTCTCGCAACCAACTTCATTAACCATATTTTGATACTGCAGATACTGTTGCATTACCACTTAAAATGGTCTTAGTAGTTGAATTACTAAATTTATCATACCATGCAACACCCCTCCAACTTGAACTTCCTAAAATGCACCAAAGAAAAGTTCATGCTCAAGTTCGATTAAGCTCGATTCGAGTTCTTTTCTAATAGAGTTCAAATTGAGTTTGAATCTCAAGGCAAGCTCGATTGGTTATTCGAACTCTAGCTCAACTAATACCGAAAGCTCGTGAGCCTGGCTCGATTAACATATGCATGCATACATATATATTATAGAACATATAAATATATTTTATAATATATTATGAAAATATATTTTTATATTCTATATAATATAAGAATATACTATGTTTAATATTTAATAATTTATATATATATATATTCATAAAATATAAAAATATATTCATTTTTGAGCTTTTGAGCCAAACTCGAACTCGAATTCGAGCTTAACAGTACTTTAGTCGAACCAAGCCAAGACATAGAAGTTCATCTAGACTCGGGTTTATTGCACCCCTACTTGCCATGCCAAACAGAAACACCATAAAGCAGAAATAAAACAATATCATTGATTTGGGGGGATGTGGGGGTGTGAGAAGAAAGAAAAAACTGACCTTTGACAATAAGGCTAGATCTGCTGAAGACCTAATTTCTCACATTTCCTACCTTTGTAATTTGTGGGCTGTAAATTTTGAGGCTTTCAAAGGAATCTCCCTGACTGACCTACAAAGAAGTGGTTATAATTTTCTTCACTCCTATCCAATGAGCTAATCCTCCCCTGAGGTTTTGGAACAAGATCGGAGGGGATAATGAAATTAAATTTTGATGGGAGTGCTTCAAGTAAACCAGGTGTTGCTGGAATAGGAGGGGGTAATCAAAGGGAGAGATGGTAACTTGTGCTGGGCTTTTAGTGGCCCAATTGGAATTGCAGATTCTACAAAGACTGAGGTCATGGCAGCTCTCACCGGGATTCAAATAGCTAGAGATTTGGGCATCTCAACTTTAGCCATTGGAGGTGATTCTGAAAATACAATCAAAATGCTAGGAGTAAATGACAGTGGTCCTTGGAGGCTTGTTCACTGTCTGGCAAATGACGGTGGTCTAGCAAAATTTGGTGCTCATTTTGATACTTTGTATAGTGACTGGGCCATACCTTTGTAATCTCTAAGGAGTTTGCCTGTTTTTTCTGCTGTACATCCTCTCATGTACTCCTTTTTCTTTTTCTAATAGGAGTTATCTTTTCTAAAAAAAATAATATCATTGATTTCTACACTCCACACAAACAAATATGCAGATCACATGGCACAAGTATAACATTATCATATTTATAACTGAATTTCATATCTATACCTTATGCAAACAAATTTCTCAAAACATTGATTTTTTTTTTTTATTGTAGAAAAGAAAATATTTAGTCAAAAGGGGAAATGCAAGATAAATTCAAAATCTAACTCCATTGCAATTCTTACCTTTTCAGTTAAATCTAGAGCTCCACTAATAATCGTTGTTTCATCATGTGTGAGTTCACCTCCCTTACCAGCCTAAAATCATAACATGGTGCATTGAAGAGGCAAAAAAACTTTAATGCATATTTTCACATTGCTATCATTCCTAAAGATATTAACAAACTGTTACCAAGCATTATTTTCTAACACCTCTATTTTCAGTTCCAAATAAGCGTACCTCTTGGCTGTGAATAGAGACAAGGGCTTTTAACTGAGCCCGCCTGAATAGTGCTTCATTATGTCCCAATACCCAGTCCAAAACCTGAAAAACATATCAACATCTTATTATGGATGACACTCCATAAGTACCTAGGTTTTTGAAGTATGATATCATGTGCACAACATGTTAGGAATACAAGGAAACCAAGTAAATGAATAATGGATAGAAACTAAACAACAGACAATATCTCCACTATGCAACATCCCCCTTCAGTCTCTTACAAATGAAATGGTGATGAGAATGAAAAGCATTATACCTTTCTTCCTTTGAGAAGTAAAATAGAGTAAAGTCAAATATTTCTTTCTTCAGTTCTTGTACTAACAGATATTACCTTCCCAATAGGATAAGCTATTGGATAGCAGACTATCATCAAAATACGAACAAGCCAAACAAAATTTGCACCTACAGCAAGTCCATATCTTGAGCATATTGCTTGTGGAATAATCTGATACAAGAGGGCAAGACGTACTTCAGTTCTTCTTACATAAACTATATGAATATTCTGAAGCTATAAAAATATAAAAATATAGCAATTACCTCTCCAAAAGCTAGAACAAAGGTTACGGAAAGAACAACAGCTACAAACGGATGGAAGATCTTATCCAAATATATAGGAAGGGCCTGCAGGTAGCAAGTCATAGATGAAAAAAAAAATTGTAGTGATGCAATATCAAGTCAATGCACAGTAGATTATGGAACCAAATGCTCTCAAGAGAACTTCTAATAGCTGCAAGTAGGGGGTGCAATGTGGGTCGGATTAGGTTGGGAACTTGAAAATTTTCAATGGGCCCAAAACCTAACCCAAACCCCGAACCTGATGTAGTTGAAGTTCTTCAAGTTAGGCGTCTAACTTGCAGCCCCTGCAAGAGCCTAGAAGAAGCAAGTTAAAATCTGAACCAAGGGTTCCATAGCTTCCATTTAAATGATCTATCTAAGTTGTACTCCACAGTCCACATATATGGTGATAGTATGAAATGAGAATCATATCATTATATTTCACACTCGTGTATTTTATAACATCCGACATTTAAAGAATTGGCTTCATTTTTAGTTGCTCTTATATCTTTTTACAATTTTTTCTTATTTTGTTTTTGATACTCAAAGGAGCCTCTTTCTGGCTCTTTCTCTCTCTCTTTGTTCTGTTTTCCTGTAAGGATTCATTTCTCCCTTATTTTATATGATTTCTGTTTGTGAAAATTGGGTATAACATTTAGTAGAAGATAATAGCTCCATGTACGGGGGAATAGCGAAGCAAATTCATGTAGCTTGATCCAAATAGTTGGGATGTATTAATTGCTCTGTGTTGACTGTATGATAGTTGCTACAAGAGCGTCATCACGTCCTAGTTATCCGAGTATACCGAGGACTACAAGTTACAGGAAGAGGAATACTACATATACGATTTCAAAGAAATTGTCAAACAACAAATAAACGCTTCTTGTGTTTGGAATAGGGTGGAAATGGAAAAGTAGTCCTGAATCAGCTAGTTTTTTTAATTTTTTTTAATGTTATGCTGTTCAGCTCTGAAACCGAGCTGCACGGAGTATGGATAATAAAATGAATAAGGAGCCAGTCGTTCTGGAACTGGAATCCACCAAATCGTGGATTCCTTGCGGCTTCTCAATCCCCCCCCCCCCCAAAAAAAAAAAAAAAAAAAAAAAAAAAAGAAAAGAAAGAAAAGAAGAACACAAATAAAAAATAAAATATTCAAACACAGACTATGCCAGCATAAATAATCAGAAAGAGGAACAAATATAATTCAGCAATTACCTCCATGGCGCAAGCATTACATAGAAGCAGAGTCACAAGAAGCTGGTGTTGCTTTTGAACGACTGGAAGGATAGCAGCTGAATAAAAAATGGATAATCAAAATGAGCCGCACGAATAACAAACCATAGTCCATAAGCTTCATAAAGGCTGATACTTAGCCAAGCTGTTCAACCATAGGATAAAGGGATATAAATTTATAAGATTTCACACCACACCAGCAAAACACCCCAACCCCCATCTCGTGAAATGCACCAGGTTCTACCGAGTGTTAACCACTAACGGAAAGAATAAACCAACAAATATCAGGATTGAAATAAACTCGAATTGAAGGTTAAATAAGAAACGATCATTTTTCAACTTTTTTAAATAAACAAACCGGATTCAGGATTCTTCCTCTCATTTATTTTTTCCGAGACAAACTGCAACCAAAACAGAACTACTGCGAGGCTCGCCCAAATTCTAGTGATATATATATATATACAACCTATGCTCCATTTCTCAATTTGCTCCACTTCTTCATCGATCAAAAGCAGACGATCAAACAAATAATAAAAAAATGAAGGCCATTAGAATTGAAAAGAAGAGAGAGAGAGAGAGAGAGGGAGAGAGACCTGCTTGCTTCTTCTCCGTGGAGGTTCCGCTTCTCTGAAGGATTTCAAGCTCGACGTGACCGAGGGACATCAATCCTAACGTGAGGCCGGACATGATTCCTCCGAAGAGAACAAGGACGCATGAGATCCCTGCGTATGTGTACCACCAGAAGGATCCGAATGCGATGTCATCGCTTTCCACCACAAGGAAAGCTCTCGTCGACATTCGAACTAGGGCTAAAGCATTTATAACCAACATCTGTCGCTCCTCGTAAGTGCAGAAACGGAGAGAGAAGAATAGAAAACCAGAGAGAGCGAGAGAGAAACAGAGCAGTGATGTTCTTCCGACTTTTATGTACGCTTGAATCTCCGATACAAGACGGAAGCCACTAGAGAGTATGGAAGATCGTGTACATTTGTCCAAAACACTGGTACTGTGTATGACAGTGTTGTCTCACTTTTCTTCGTATTTCTTCTTCTTCAGTCGAAGATCGGGATTTGTTTGCTTCCAATTTATCGCATGTGGCAGGTGAATAACAACCACGTGTTTCCATACATCAGGGAATATTGGGTACACTTGGCATTAATACTTTTTTTTTAAGGGTGGGATGATGCAAGATATTACGTTTGTAAGGGTGATCTTACGCTGTGTTTGGTTTGATAAAAGAAATAAGTGAGAAACAGACAAAATTTCAGAAAATTTTCACAAATTTTGTTAAAGAATTTTTCTTCATAAGTTACTATTTTCACAGTCAAAACGTCTGTGATTTGCTTAGTCAAAGGAGAAATATAATGTTTGAACTTTTATTTCACAATATATCAAAATAGAGGTGTAAAACTTTTTTTACTAAAATACATTTTTCTTTCTGAGTATTGTGAGAGCTCAAATATTAATATAAATTAGGGAAAATTCTTGGCTGGAGTGGCAATTTGGTCCCCAAACTTTAAAATGCAATAATTCAATACATAAACTTTCAAAATGTGACAATCCAATACTCAAACTTTTAAAGTGTAACAATCCAGTACATGCCATTAATTAGTTCGTTAATCAAACATTAAGTGATATTTGAAAAGTCAAAAATGCCCTTCAAATGCCATCTAAATCTTTTTATCAACCATCCAAACGTTGACAAAAATCTAAAGAGTCCCAAAACCTAGCATCTTCTATTAAAAAAAGTTTATGACTATTTAGAAGAATCTAGAATTTGCGACTATTCATTTTATTGTCAATGTTTGGATGATTGATAAGAGAATTAGATGGCATTCATAGGGCATTTTTTACTCTTCAAATGTCATTTAATGGCTGATTAGCGACAAATACTGGATTGTCACATTTTGAATGTTCAGGTACCGGATTGTCACATTTGATGACCAAATTGTCACTCAAGTAATCAGGAATTTTCCCTATAAATTACTAGGCTTCACATAGTTTAATTCCCTTTCATTAAATGATTAAATCTTATATTCAAGGTGTCAACTCCCATTCTCTTTCATTGAATCCTATATAAATCAATGCCAAATACTTTTTAACAATATAAAACCTTTTTTTAGACTACAACAAAAAATAAACCCTTTCTCAATTTAGATGATAAATAAACAATTCAATTTTCTGAGATCAAATGAGTCAACCCATAATATTATAATTAAAATAATATATATTTTAAATCATATAATTTGGACATGTAAATTATATTCATTCACCACATGGAAATTATGTTCACAAAACGGTAGCCGAAATCATGTTTACCAACCACATGGAAAGCGGTAGCACACACCAAATGGTAGCAAAAATCAGCGCTTATCAAATGAGTGTATGTTTATATTTCTTGTTTGAAAAATATGATCATGTTTTTTAAAGTATCTCCTTGTTGATTTTTGAAGACAAATGTTTTTTTTTTTTAATCAGATTAAAAATGGTCTCAAACAGGATCTTCAAGGGGTGTTCAATACCATAGTGTGCTTGTTTCTGGGAACATACCATGTCCCAATGAATGTATTGTTCTTTTTTTTTTCTAAGGAAAAAAAAATGCAGTGTGGAGTCCGGATCTTCTGCCAATAAAACACGTTCCAACCCTTTTACCAACTCAATCTAGCACTACACATCTTATACATGGTAGATCCCACTTTATGGTGGGTTTCAATCTTGAGATGAGATGCGTGGTGTTAGATCAAATTGATAAAGAGTTGGAACGTGTTATGTTTGCAGAATATCTCAACTCCACTCTGTGGGGAATCCATCCCGTTTCATGTTTACAGTAGTCAATGGGGGATAGGCAGACCTGACAGACCAGAATAAACCAATCCAATTATATAGGGCTGGGTCTGCATTATGAGTCCCAATTATAATGGGACTATGATAGATTTTGGTTGTTCCACATTAAGGTCCAAATTGACCATATTTGTAATTGTTTATATAATTATGTAGATGATTATTGGCATATTTTCTCTCTTTTGTGAGAAAATMTTTTCTTTGTTTGAAAAAATAAAAATGGAAAGTTGAAAAAAAAATGGAGCCATGGATTCTTGAATTACACAATTCGTTTTTATGTTCGGACTTCAATGGTTCTTTTGGGCTGTGCTCGTCAATAATGAACTCCTACAGCAAAAGAAAAAATAGAACTTGTTATGTTATTTAAATAAGCCTTCTTTTCCTATCTCAGMAAGTCCCCCTCGCAAAACACATCAACACTCCAATTTTCATGATTCTGTTCTGATCCTATGTTGATTACGTCTCATTCCCTTGTTCTGTTCGACAAAGGGTCCATTCATATACAATAATCACATTGTACGTTGTAGCGGGTATACTTATTTTCTCTAGTTACAGAGTTATTCCAAACTCGTACTTATTTTCTCTACTTATACTTGTAACATTATCATCGTATGAAGTATGATGCCCAACTGTGTCAATTTAAGAAAAGAATAAGTTTAATCAGGGTTAAAAAAATCGACATGTATCGACCCGTATCGGCATATATATATCGTATCAAGAGTTAGGGGTGGATTCGAACCGAGCCAAATAATACCAGGCTCGAGCTCAGCTCATTTTATATTTTATAAAAATAAAAATTATATAAAAAACTTTATTTTATATTTTAAAAATTAAGAACTATAATATTTTTATTATATATATATATATATATATATATATTCGAGTCGGCTTGTGAGCCTCACAAGCCGAGCTCTATTAGGCTCGAACTCGACTTGTTTAATAATCAAGCCACTGAATTGGGCTCAAACTAGGCTGAATCTGAGCCGAGCCGAGCTCGAACAGCTTGTGAAAAGCTCGGCTTGTTGCCACCCCCTATCAGGAGCTTCCCGATATGTGCCCTATAGAGAGTGTATCGGGGTTTTGACCGTTCAAGGGATGGGCGGGCTTTAAACCAACTCCTTTGAACCAGATTAAAAAAAAAAAAAACTAAAAAACAACTGATACTGTCTTATATGCCTCTACAGGTGTATTGTATTGGGTGTATCGATAATTATAACCTTGAGTTTAATGTCAAATTAAAAGTTTAAAACTTAGTTGACAATTATGATAGAGTCTTATTAGATCAGAGCAGACAGGCCCAGTTACAACTTGCTCTTCCATGTTGGAGAAGACCCCATAACGAATTAAATTTGTGGAACTATTTGCCTGTGGAGATGTGAGATAAGACAAAACTACAACCTCATTATTTTACAAAATAGCAAAAACCATAGATGCCACTATCTTATCATTTTCATTGTTCCACATTGAAAAGCAAAATTGATTTTTAAATACATAATCCAAAATCTACAAGGTTGATTTGCAAATCTCCAAATAGATAATTTTCCAGTTTCCCCCACCCCACCCAACCTAAAAGAAAACAGATTTCCAAGCCTTTAAGGCTTATACTTCATACAACAAAACATTGACAAAGTTGAACAAAAATCAATTCCTAGTGCTAACTCAAGAAACAAGGATGTTAAACCATACTTGCTACCAACAAATTCTTCCAACAAGACAATACAGCGGCACAGCAAGAACATCATGAATGACAAGGGAGATGTTCCCAATGTCCAACTCTAGTGCCTTATTGCGAGCAGATCAGAACTCACATTGAACTCCTGATTAGGGGCCTCTTTGAGAGGTTTCAGTTTTGGTTTAAACTGCTTTCACTGAACCACTTTAAAGAAGCTACTAAACTTAGTTTCATTGAAAAGTCAATTTATTGACTGAATGAAAAGTGTATTTGGGATTTACAGGCCTTTCACCAAACATAACTTAGAGGTTTTCCATTTGGATCCTACCTTGCAAAGCCAGAAGCCACCACATGAAAGCACTCCCAAATGGGCTTTAGAAATCATAGACATGGAAGGATTTCAATGATAGAAGCTGATCAAACTTTGTGTGCAGTATGGGTGCAAGTTGGATACCTGACATTAAGATTTTATATTGCATTGGGTCCGCCATTTCGGGCCAGACTCATTCAAATTTTGACAAAACCCCAACCCGAGCCCACCCAAATTGCACCCCTGGTGTACAGTTGGCAGTCCATTTGATCTGCATAATTATGCTTCAAAAGTAATTTTTTTGATTTGTTCTCATTATTCTACTTTTTCTTATAAAACAAATCTGAGAGGTCACAGCGCGTATGTTATTTCTACTCTTTGCTGCTCCAGCAATGCTCTGAATCTGCTATTGAATTGAGGCTTCAGTATCCAAACATGATTCTGCAATGCGAGAATCTCTCTAGGGGAGTTTACTTATTCATTTTTGGGCACTTAAACCTCCCCTGATTTTTTTCACAAATACTAACTAAAACACCCCCTCTTTTTTCAAATTGGACTAAGAGTCTAAGACCTCCAATATTAAGTGATTTCAAGGGACAAAAACCTCCCATCTAGAGTAATTCATCAAAATCTGTTCAAATGTGAGATCATATGTGAGTTAATTTTTTTCAAAAACCCAATTTTGCCCTTTATGATCCCTTTTACCAATTCAAATCTCTCTCTCCCCCCCCTCTCTCTCTCTCTCATCACTTTCTATGATGCTGTTTTTTAACTCCCCAATAAGCACAAGTTTCATCTCCAAGACTTCTATAATGAGTTGGGTCTGTTTCTCTTCTTTTATCACAAATAATAAGGGCACTGTGCTCAAAGCCGTTCTTTGCATCATTGAATTCAAAGTTCTAGACTCTGGGCTTATTTTCTTAGTTGGGATAGTGATGGAGGAACCAATTGAGATCAGGGTCTTAAAGTTGTTAGTATTGGGATTCGATTTGACAAGTGGTTTTAAGTTGGTTGTGTTAGGTGAGAAGAATAGGCAGGAATTGACGTCTTCTCAAGGTGTCAATGATATCAGGTGTGATAAAAGGGACTACGGTGTACTTAGGTTCAATGAGATGATGGGTTTGAATAAATTCAGTTTTTTTTTTATTTGAATAATTATTTATGTTATTTGAGCAAGGATTAAACACTAGAAAAAGAACACCCCGTATCGTTGCAAAGATGCATATATTAATTCTTATGTAAATAAACCAAATCCCTTCTTTCTATCTAATTTAAATCTGTTTTTTTAACTGCTCTATTTTCAGTCACAAATGGCTTCTTCTGGATCAATACTAAGCAACGCCCCAAGAAATCTTGTTCCGTTCTCCCCAAGGAAAATCCCATACTTGATCACATTTATTGGTTTTAAAGTTTAATAATTCTTCTTTTTATTCTATAGGAAACCTCTATTTTAATCTCTTTTTTTTTTTAATTTCAAGCTCTTTGAAATATTGGTTGGAAAAGTTCTTGGGTGGGTCAAGACAAGACAACCAAATAAATGGCAAGAGAGATTCCCTTGTTTTGGAAGTATTAAAGAGTAAGGAGAAATAAGACTTTTTAATGATTCCATTAGATATAATTCTCACAGAGGTCTTAGTCCAATTTAAAAAAAGAGAGAACAGTATTTACAAAAAAACTCAGGGGAGGTTTAAGCCTTTTTACCCTTTATTTTTTCATGGTGCTACATAATGGGGGGTAGCCCATAAGGAAAAAGTAGGGAAAAGGTGGAAAAACTTATACAAGGTTTGTAAAGGTTTCCTTACCTTCCCCTTCCTTTCCCTACTGTTTCCTTCAAACCAAAATCCCAAGTCTGTGTTATATCAAGTCAGCAATCCTATTAACTATCACCATCAGTTCGTTTTTTTTTTTTTTTTTGGCTGAGATATGCCTTTCATTGTTAGAAATGCAACAACTGACTGGTATAATTTTTCAATACTATTTTAAGCCCTCCACCCTTCCAAATGGAGCACATCATAGTTTATAAGTAATATCATTTAATGAGCTATTTATTATGACACTAATTCAGGAATAGAATAATTAATCGACTGATAAACACAATGGTATTAAATGCACTATTTGCTTAAAAGAGCACAAATGATAGGAAATATCAACTATACCACTGAATTGGATGGGTAAAATTATTCCCTCATAAATTGACAGTTGAAACAGATAATTTGCATAATGAGGCAAGGGTTTAAACTATACACGCACAATTACAGGAACATATTTATTTATTTATTTTAGTTTTAATTTTTTATATTAAAAAATTAAGGTTTAAGACAAAAGAAGGCATTTTTGGCAAAAATAGTGGAACAAGGCAAACATGTAGCTCTCAAATGTTACCCAAAATGAAAAAAAAAGAACACCTCAATTGACTAGCTCAACAGTTTTTTAATAGTTTTTTGTGATTTCCAATTTTAGGGTATGACCGAGCCAGTTAGGGCCGAGGTCACATTTCAAGTTTTCAACTGATCGCCATTTTCCCACCATATAAATAATGGGATAGAATTATATTAACACAATAGCTATTCAACAGGTTGAGAAAACAATGATAACCCCCACACATCATTCATAAAATGCATTAAGTTCACAGAAAGAGGTTAAATTCACAAAAACATGGATCTGATGATAGCCAAAACCTGACTTTTGGCCCAGTTAATCAGCCCCGGATATCAAGTACCGTTTTTAGGGGCCAAACCATTCCGTGGAATGCTGTAGCCTTTTCTAGATGTCGTGTAAACGTTAATAGATGTTTGGTGAGATGATTTACGTTCACCAATAGCCATTATTGCGTATAGCTTAAATGACTGCGACCGTTCAACCACTTCTTATAAAATGCCCAATCATCTTTAATTTCATTGTTCCAAATGAGGGGGATAAGGGGATTAGTTGCTTCCCTTAAAATGGAATGATGTTGAACATTATGGTTTAGACCCACGATACATGGCCAGGGTTGCATTGCGTATTAATAACAAAAACCCACAATGTCAAGTAATCGAGTCATCAGCCATCAACACAAAAATCACTCTACTGGTCGGACGCCAACATACGTATAAGATACAAAGGTGGTTGAGGGCGAGAAAACCGTTCAACAAACTTTGGGTTTGAATGCGCATTAAATCCATATAAATGGATAAACCAAATTTGATTTATTTTATTGGGAATTGATAGTTTATTCACCCTCAGAAATTTTATTGATTTTTTTAATGTATTATCCCAACTCTCCACCTATTCTATAGTACTCCCTAATAAATTCCCCCAAATATCACTGTTCTTAACTGTACAAATTCATAAAAATTTCTGAAGTGGAAAAACCCTTGTTTATATATTCAGATTGAAAATCGTATCTTACCTATCAGATTTATACTAGATTCAAATTGAATTCAGATTGCAGTTGGTTATTGACTATCAATAAATTAAACTAAACCAAACATATTGGAAATAAGTATTTCATATTTTACCAAAAAACACATTGAAAATAAATTTTATAAGACTTGAACCAATGACTCTAGTAAAAATACAACATTCAAACCAACATTACTAAAAGATCTAATCGATTGAAATTGATCCATGTCTAATCCAATTATAAATGGATCGAATTTGAATTACCCTTAAATAGGACTGTAATCAAGCCAAGTATTAGGCGCAAAGTGAAACATGGACAAAGGTCGATATACAGTGGATATGTGCCATAAGCAGCAGGACAAAGGTCAAAGTCCCGATATTGTACAAGTAGGGCCCTACTAGAAGGATATTGTTGTGGCATCATTTGTTAAAATGTTTGGATACATCTGATGGGCAAGAACATGCATATCGGGTGTTTCCAAGCCACTTAACATTTTTTTTTCTTTTCAAAATTGGTAAGAGGGTCGGTCTTAGGCCTGCCTAGCCCCTGAAAATGGTCAAAACCCTAAAAGTCCTTTATTTAGAGCATCAAGGGCCTGCCTTATACAATAAGATATGCCTGATGTGTAGTATTGAAATTTTGAACCTGTATGGTTTTATTTCTGGGAAAAATCTATGATACCAGAAAAACGTGGTAATTGACCAATCAAAGCATCCCATGAATTTTGATGAACACCACTTGACTGATCACCTCTTTTATTATACCTTTTGATTGGCTGTTTTTTGTTTTGAAAAACAAAATCATATACATTGGCAAAAATACCCTAGATAATCCAATATGGCCAACTTAAAGAATGTCCTTTTCTTTTATCAACAAAATTTCAACTAAGTGTTGCATTCGTTTTTGTTACGGATTTACAGTGGGCAAGATGTGGACTAGGTCTGTATGAATAAAGCACCTGACCACCTCAATATATGTTATACTTCTTCAACAATTAATCCAAACGGGCTTCACCTTAACCTCAATTTAGGAGATTTAAGCTATAAGCAAGGAGAGTATGTGCTGATTAAAATTTATATGACACGGTCCTTACCTTACTTGTAGGAGATTCAGGCTTTGCAATTGTAACGGCAATGAACCTGCCACCAAAAAACTAAACACCTCCCAAGTGAAGAAGAGGCATCTTTGTGCACTTAAAATTATTGATAAGAAGAAAAAGAGTTTAAGATGACAACCTTTCCATCCATTTCTGCAACAGCCAACTGGGCAGACTCTTCACTGGCAAACCAAACATATGCTAATCCCAAAGACTGTCTAGATTTTCTATCTGTTATAATTTTTACTGCAAGATAACAGAGAAAAATAAGACAAAAAACAAGTAAAACGGTTCAATTCATATCTTTTACTTATTTATTTATTTGATTCAATAAAGTAAAGCACAAATATCCAATAAAAAAATAAAATAGCACCTTTACACTAATCCCTAAAAAACAAGCAAAAATGTTATTAAATAAGATGAGTAGTATTTTCACCTTTTCTTACTTCACCATAGCAGGAAAATGACTTCATCAAACATCCTTCAGACATTGATAATGGAAGTCCTGCACCAATAATCAGGGAGGAATTAGAAATAAGGTTATTTCTGTAAATGAAAATGGAGAAGTTTGTATTGGGACGAAAAAAGAGTAACTCACTCAAAAATTTGAGAGGAAAAGAAAAGCTGACTTTTCAATTACTGTACATATATTGGTATATATAGTATGTGATTACATCTACATGAAAAACTGTATGTGTGTATGCATGCCTTTTCGAGCCACAAAAAAAGTCACTTGATTCACTGAGCAGAAAAGAAAATTAATTGAAAGTGTTGGATGTATTTTTCTTTCTCATTTTCTTCTCTAAGGTTGTGTTTGGTTTGAAGGAAAAAGTAGAAAAAGATAGGAAAACCTTTATAAACCTTGTATATATTTCCCTACCTTTCCCTTTCCTTGATTACCTTTTCCATCAAACCAAACATAGCCTAAAAGTAACAAATCTTTTAACTAACAACATAGAGCAATTGCTCATATCCACATTCCCACCCCCGACACATATAAAAAGAGAGGTATGATACCATGGGCTCCATAGGTTTAGAAGAGAACTGAGACCACATGTTAAATTGGACAGAACAAAATAAACAGGGATAGACTAATAATGAGGAACCTCAATACAGTTCTGTCCCACTGACCCCACTTTTGGCTAACTCTTCAGCATTCAAAGGAAAAGACATCCACTGGAATGGAACCAGTGTAAGCACAAGGGCCAATTTGCGCCTGAGGTGTGAGGTGCAAGGCGCAAGGCAAGGCTTGCACCTTTTTGAAGCAAGATGCAAAAATACAAAAAAAAAAAAAGCTGAAAATGAAAAATTGTCAGAAAATTCAAAAAATGCCAGAAAAGTTAAACATAATATTAATAAAAAATATATACATAAGCATAACATGTAAAGCGTATTCAAATGAAAACATAAAAATAAAAGCAAACATATAAGGCATTTTCAAGCATGTAAAACCCACAATCTCTTTTTTTCCTCAATTGCATTACTTCAAGTAGTTAATGTGATGTAAAACATATAGCATTCTTGATTCTACGAGTCGCCTTTGTACCACGCCCCTCGAGGCAAGCCCGAACAAGTCCATGTTAGGGTTTTAAATTCTTAATTCTCACATAAAAATAATGATTTTATAATTTTAATTGCCTTTTAAGAAGATATTTTATTAGGATGAATGAATGAACAATAAAATATCTTCTTAAAAGGCAGTCAAACTTATAAAATCATTATTTTTCATGTGAGAAATAAAAATTTAAGACCCTAACATGGATTTGTTCAGGATTCCTCGAGGAGGGTAGTTGGTGGTCCGAGGGTAGAGCCCCCAACCTAGCCGCTAGGTTAAAAAATAGGAAAAAAGCGCAGAATTTTGAAAAGGCGCACGCCTGGGCTGAGGCGCAAGGCCTAAGAGCTGGGCGAGACACATACCATAAAATACTCCTCGCTTGTGCACCAAGGCGTGCCGTTTAAATCGCTAAATGGAACCTCCAACCTGGAAGGTAGGGCCAACTCTTCTAAAATGAAATGAGATAGTTGCCATGAAAGATCTGAAAGACAACTAAATGGACCAGTTGCAACATTAAAGTACCTTTCCACCACAAACCTCTCATGATTTGGGGAGGAAAACTGAGACCATGAAGAAGGGAAGGATGTTCATCTATTTAGTGTTTAATCAGGCAAGAGAATGACATAAATATAGCCCCAGAAAGGAATGTGTTAAAACATCTCCACAATATGTACACCTTTCTTGAAGCATGCCCTACATGTTGGCATTTCTGTGGGCCACATTCAAGTAAGTACCTTAATCCTAGAGTGCAGGAACCATCCAAATGAATTTAGCGGGGAACAAGTTTTCAATATGTGAGCTATTTTGGTTCGAAGTGGCATCTAGTTCGAAAGTTAACTTATCCAAAAGTGAGATGATAGCAGTTGGAGATGTTCCTAATTTGCAAGACCTGGCAGAAGTGTTGGATGCAATATAGGTAGCTACCCTACAAAATACTTGGGCTTACCTTTAGGGGCAAAGTGCAACTCAAGAAGCATATGGAGCCCTCTAGAGAGAATTGACAGGAAATTGGCTTCTTAGAATGTTAAAGGCCCGCGAATAGGATCTCGTCACAGGTCGGTCAACGGGGAAAACCTCTTGTTTTCCCTTGTTCCTCCCTTTTCTTGAGGAACCTATCTTGGCGCCTTAATGGTGATTTGTTAAAGAGATCACCAACTCTCCTCTGCTCTTTCTTGACTAAAAATTTCGATAATTTCATTGAATATCATCTGCTCCTTTAAATAGGAGATTACAAGAAGATAAGAGTCCTACTTTAGGAAGACTTCCTAATAACCTTTATCTATACTACTGCCTAATTAATAAGAATACTGAATCTAGCTAAAATAGAAACAAATAAGATAAGAACACTGAATCTAGCTAACAGATAAGATAGGATAGGGACGCTGTATCTAGCTAACAGATAGGATAGGAACACTGAATCTTGCACCCATTACTGCTGCTGTTTGCGGCTGTATTTCTTCCCAATAAAAGCATCCACAACATAGAAAGGTAGATATCTTCCCAAACGAGGAAAGGTGATTCTAGTTAAGAGTATGCCACCCAGCCTTCCAGCTTATTATTTGCCACTTTTTCTAATGCCCTCAGAGGTGTATTGTCTAAATACCATTTGGTGAATTGGGAAGAGATATGCAAACCTATATCTCAAGGAGGGCTGGGAATTGGGAAGATGAAATTGTTTAATATAGCACTACTGGGGAGATAATTCTGGAGATTTTCTAATGAACTACAGGAGTTATGGAGATTGATAAAAGGATTGGTCTGTGTGTTTGGACCCCCCAGACTTGATAAAAGGATTTGGTCTCTAACCCGGGTTGGCTCCTTCAATTGTGCATCTTTGTTTAAATCCCTCTGTTCTACCCTCTCCTCTCAAGTAAATCTGCTGTTTGTTCTGTCTACCTTTGGGAGATTGACAAAGAGAGGGAAGCTAATGTGGAAGTGTATCAGAGCAGCTAGCTTGTGGACTTTATGGGAGGAGAGGAATGCTAGAATTTTTAAGAGAAGGAAAGAAGCCTTGTTGAAGTAAAGGAGTGTATAATGATAAGGACAACCTCTTGGATGAAAACTTCAAACTTGTTTGTGTATTACTCTTTTGATGATTTAAGGAGAAATTGGCAGCAGTGGCATCCACAGCCTCCACAAAGAACAGACTACAAGTAGAATGGAAGCCCCCTCCAGAAGGAATGGTAAAATTAAATTGTGACAAAAAGCAGTCTAGGCAATCCAGGACCCTCAGGCATAGGAGGGATTCTGAGAGATAAAGACAACATCTTTCTTTATTCTCAAAAACAGTGGGTGTTGGCGATTCTATAAGGGGTGAGATACTAGCAGTGGTACAAAGCATACAGGTTGCTAGTCAACTTGGAGTTGAAAACTTGATAGTTGAGGGGGACTACAAGGTGGTGGTGGGCTGGTTGACAAATCTAGAAAGTCTTTTGGGGTTACAGGGATCTTTTGAAGAAAGTAACTGGCTGACAAGAAATAGGGCAGTTAGGTTTCAGTGGGTTAGCAGATCGACAAATGCAATGGTTGATTCTTTGGCTAAACAAGGGGTATCAAGGGGTGACCTGTTTTGGGCTACCTTAGAATTGTAATTCAGGCTAGTGTGTGTTTATTTGCAATATTGCTTAGCTCCAAGGGGAGGTATCTTGTGCCTCCTCTTAGGCTGATTGTGCACTCTTTCTTTGATTAATAAAATTGCACTCATTTATCAAAAAGAAAAATAATGGCTGAAAAGTGTGGGTTTAACACCAATGGTTGGGATGCAGGTCATGCTCATTTGACATACAGCTGCAGCATCCAGAAAGGCATATACAAAGCCTATCCCCATTTCATCAAAGGAATATCATACGAGGCAGAAAATAGAAGTGGGTTGATGTTCTGGCAAGACCCATGGAACAATGACAGTCCTTTAAAAGAAAAGATTCCCTTCCCTGTTTAATGTGGCTGAAAATAAACAGGCCTCTGTTGCAAACTGTTTTGTGTTGGATGGTGATAGAATAGTTTGATCTCCTGTATTCAGGAGAAACTCCAATGATTGGTAGTTGGACCAGGTGACAGAACTTCTTTCTTTGCTTCAGAACCAGCACATAGACATGAAATTAGAGGACTCAAGATGCTGGAAATGGGCAAAATCCAGCAAAATTTCAGTCAAAACCTCTTATATTGGTCACCAGTCACCTTGGAGCCCTATAAAGCCATTGGGAAAGTCAAGTTTCTCAAGTTTTTCTTTTGGGTGCAAGGTTTTCAAGGTGCCAAGGCGAGGCTAGGTGATAGGGGGCACCTTGTCTGCTTGTCGCCTAGTCATCTAGGTGGTGGGACTTTTCAGAAAATGCCTCTTTTTTTTTGTCTTAGGAAAAGAAGAAAAGAAAAAGAAAGGATGAATATGTGTTGATTGGACAAAATTTTGAGTTCTTACATGCTTATTAGTTTAGATTTTGAAGTCTTCAAGGGTTCAAGACAGTATATATCTTGATTTTTTTTATAAGTGCAGTATATATCTTGATTGAACCCTAACAAATAAGAAAAAAATAAAAAGAACTAGTATCTTGATTGAACCCTCCATTAGCACCTTATTGCTGAGGCGTCACTCTACATGTTAAGCTACCATGGTATTACCTAATTGTTGAAGTTAGGTAGCATATCCTAGAGGTAATCTCTATTTTATATGATAATGGGTTGTTATTATATCATTTGGTGTAGCAATAACAGACATGCCTTTGTTGGGTTATTTCATTTCTCATTTGATTGATAACAGCATGTTTGTGTTTTAATGGATGGTCGTAAGAAATTGTTGTGACCATGTGAATTCATGAAAACCAAAGCCAGGCATGCACTCACTAGGTGATTTGGTTTACCCTTTGACTTATAGCATGTTTGGGTTATTTTAGAGTCCACAAGAAAGTGTTATGATTATGTGAACTCATCGCTTCACATGTTAAACTACTTCGTAT